ATATGCACAAACTCACATATGCAGATACCCATATATACATAAACTCACATATGCAGATATCCATATATACATGAACTCACATATGCAGATACCCATATATGCACAAACTCACATATGCAGATACCCATATATACATAAACTCGCATATGCAGATACCCATATATACATAAACTCACATATGCAGATACCCATATATGCACAAACTCACATATGCAGATATCCATATATGCACAAACTCACATATGCAGATACCCATATATACATAAACTCACATATGCAGATATCCATATATACATGAACTCACATATGCAGATACCCATATATGCACAAACTCACATATGCAGATACCCACATACACACACGTAAACATACATGCACAAGAAGCCGCATGCGTGCATATCGGCACGTGCAAGCCTCCCGACCCCCACAAGGACCGTAACACCGGCAAACACGCGAGGGGAAGCCTTGCAGCAGAGGCGACATTGCGCAGCGTACATGCGGCATTGCCCCTCGGTTGCTTTCCAGCTGCAGCGCAAGTGCTTCTGCATGCGCAGCTGCAGCAGCTCGAGGAGCTGCAACTGCCCATGCTGGAGGCGACTGTGGTCTCCAGGCACCGCCTCCACCACTCAGTCGTCGCAGCCAGTCTCGTTTGAGGCCTCTTATGACTGATGCTCGCTGAGCGGCACTCCCAGGCTGCTGCTGCAGCTGCTGCAGCAGGAGCTGCTGCTGCAGCAGGAGCTGCTGCTGCACCACCGGCGGCAAGGCGTCCTCCTCATCGCTGCTTTCCTCCTGCTGCGCTTCCGCCAGCTCCTTATACCCCGCAAGAGCAGCGCAACTCCCAACGGGAGGCACAGGGGCCGCAATGCATGCCAACTCGTCTGGCACGAGGTCCCTATACACCTGAAGATTGTGCGCAGCAGCAAAATGCGCAGCAGCCGCGGCGCTCGAAGCAGGGCTTTAAAAAGACAGGAACATACAGAGAGAGAGAAATAAATATATTTATTTATAAAGAAAGAGAGAAATAAAAGAGACATTTATTTACGAAGAAACAGAGAAATAAAAGATAAGGAAAGCGAGATAAAGAGCATAAAGGACGAAACAGAGAGAGAGAGGAGTGACGTTTGTACAGAATTGCAGCAGCAGCATCCAACGCCAGTGAAGAAACAAACACACAAACACATACACAAACAAACACATACACAAACCAACACACACAGACCTCTCCCCACCCCTCCTGCTCATGCAGACTGCCGCCCTTGCCGAAGACAGTACAGTGGGAGCTGCAGCATCAGCGAAAGAAAAACAGAAAACAGCAGCAGCCTTGAAGCGGTGGCAGGGGAAACAGCAGAACGACGAACCTGCCGGCACAGAGCAATACACAGCGCTTCGACTGCTGCTGCCCAAGGAGCAGCGAGAAGCCTCCTTTCTTCTTGGAGCTGCTGCAACATTCTGAATCTCCCAGCTGCTGTCGCGCCGCTGCTTAAGCGCAGCAGTGCCTGCCTTCGCCATCGCCGCTCGTAGTAGAAGTCTCGAGCCATCCACGCAGCCTCCTGGAGCAGCAAGGATCGATGGGATCGCTGCAACAAGGGTCCTGCCTGCTGCGGCACATCCATCGCCAGAGGCGTCCTATTGCTGCTGCTGGCGCTGCTGCTGCTGCTGCTGGCACCGATGTTGGCACTGCTCGCTTGTTGTGGAAGATGAAGAGCAGCAACTGCGTGTTGCTGCCGCTGTGGCTGAGAGAGAGCCGCCACTGCAACGCCCCCACCAGCAGCGGCGTAAAGCACATCCTGCTGCTGGTGCTGCAGCGCATGCGGCTGCTGAGGATCTGCGCAGACAACAGGATACTGGTGGGGGTGGTGAGGTTGCTGTTGCTGATGGGGTGCTGGTGGAGGGAGAGCAGCAGCAGCAGCAGCAGCAGCCGCAGCCACCTGCTGCTGCTGCTGCGGATGTTGCTGCTGAAGCTGCTGCTGCTGCGGGTGTTGCTGCTGAAGCTGCTGCTGCTGCTGCTGCTGCTGCTGCAGCCCCCAGCCAAGAGGGCCCCCGGGAGTCCCGTTCCGTTGCTGCTGCTGCTGCTGCTGCTGCTGCTGCTGCTGTTGCTGCTGTTGCTGTTGCCACTGCATCATTGCTTGCTGCTGCTTCTGCAGCTGCTGTTGCTGCTCGGGGAATGTCACAGAAAGGCTGGCTGCTCCTGGAGCCGCCGCTGTCGGAGCGCCAGCCGCTGGTGCTGCTGGGGGGCCCCCCGCATGCCATGGAGCAGCAGCAGCAGCAGCAGCAGCAGCAGCAGCCCCCGTCGCTGCGAGCTGACTCAGCTGCTGCTGAGGCAGCTGCTGGTGGTTCGGTGCCATGAGGTGGTGATGGTGGTGCTGCTGCTGCTGGGGTTGTTGTTGCTGCTGCTGCTGCGGCTGCTGCTGCGAGGGCAGGAAGGTGGCGAAGGCGCTAGCAGCAGAATAGGGGCTTCCCGGTGCAGGGGGCCCCGCGTAGTACGTGTTGGGTGCAGATGCGGCGCATGCGTAGGGGCCTCTAGGGGCCCCCGCGTCTCCTGGAGGCGCTGCGACTGCGGGATATCGGAGGGCGGGGGGGGCCCCCGCTGCCGCAGAGACTGCTGCATCGGAAGCAGCAGCGGCAGCGGCAGCGGCGGCTCCGGGGGAGGCCGAAGGCAGGGAGCCGTAGCCTTGCATGCGACGGCTTGCGAGCAAGTGGGGAGGCTGCAGTGGCTGCGTGGCGAGGGGCACTCCCGCAGATCCTGGAGCAGAGGCACCGTAGGAAGCGGGAGCGAAGGCGGAGGGAGGAGGGGGGCCTCCTGCTGCTCCTCCCGCTCCTCCTGCTGCTGCAGAGACTGCTGCTGCTGCTGCATGGGGGTCGCTGCTGCTCCGCTGCTGCTGGGGAGGCGGTGCAGCGGCAGCAGCAGCCGTCGCGTAGCTCATGTGCTGCTGGGGAGTGCAAAGAGGAGGCGAGGCCCCTACGGGGGCAGGGGGCCCCCAAGGGGCCCCTTCCTGCATGATGCTGGGGCCCCCCAGGGAACGCACGGGCTGGAGTAGGTGTTGCTGCTGCTGCTGCATATGCTGCTGCGGCTGCTGCTGCTGCATTTGGTTGGGGAAGGGCGGAGGAAGGGGGTGGAGAGGAATGAGCTGGTGCTTTTTATCCCGCTGCTGCTGCTGCTGCTGCTGCAAGCGGCAGGACTGCAGATGGGGGGCCCCCTGCTGCTGCGTGTTTCTCGAGGACGGGGGGGGCCCTGTGAAGACTACAGCGGATGCAGCGGCAGCGACGACCTGCTCTCCATGCTGCTGCTGCTGTGGCTGCTGCTGCTGCAGCTTCTCCTGTCGCATCACGAGCGGTGGCAGCCGCTGCGACAAGGGGGGACGCCTCCGCTGCTGCAACTGCTGCAGCGCGTGCTGCTGCAATTGCAGCAGTTGCAGCAGGCGCTGTCTGGAGAGCGAAACAGCGTGTGCATGGGTTGCCGACGGAGGTGCTTCGGGAGGTTTCGAGGCACTGCGAAAGGGCCGAGCGAGCTCGCCGCGGAACGAATCCTCTGCCCGCCTCGCGCCCAAGCTAGCTGCTTACCGTCCTCGCGGAGGGGCAGCAGCAACACACATGCGCAAGCCCTCTCCCCCTTCGCGCGCACAGGCAGCCACCGTCGACCTCTGCAAGAAAGCCGCTCGCTTCAAGACGGGGCCTAAGGCCCCTAGAAGGGCCCCTGTGCGTTGCGATGATGGCTGCGAAGCGGCTGAGGCGCTGGAGCGCCAGGAAGCCGACGCGGCTGCAGAGCGAATGCTGCAAGAGCAGGAGGGCAGACGAGGGAGGGTTCGTGTCTTAAACAAAGCGCAGCTCGTGGATTTCAGGAGCCTGAGGAGCACACGCAGGAGCGCGCTGCTGCTGCTGCTGCCTATGCCCCCGGTGCTGCAGACGACGTTGCAACCACTAAGCAGTCGCCACTCAATGCCGCTGCTGCTGCAAGGTGAGAGCCAAAAAAGATAGAGGGTTTGCTGCTAAGAGGGGCCCCAGGGAGTCGGTGGCCCCCCACAGAGAACCAGCAGCTGCAACTGCTGCTGCTGTCCATACACCCGTGGGGCCCTTCGCCGGCTTTTCCCGCTGTTTCCTCGCGTTTCTCCCCCCTCTTCGTCTTGAAGCGCTTATTTTGCCTATTAAAAAGGGGAATCTCGAAACAACGGCTTCCGGGGCGCCTGAGACTCTCGAGATCGCACGGGCCGGTGCCCTTCCCCTCTGGCGTCAGCAGGTGCCACGAGGGTTCAGAGAAAAAGCGGCGCTCTCTCTCGCCCGTTTTGCTGCCGCTATTGCTGTAATTTATTTCTTTTATTTTTTGTCAGACCCTCCACTAAAGCGTCTCAGATTCGGTGCGGCGTAGACACCGTCCGAGCACAGCACGGGCCTATAGCACTCCGTGGCTTGATTTACGTGCAGACACCGCTGCTTCTGCATGACGCTAGTCTCCTGACGGCAATCGCTACCACTGCATCATTGCTGCCGCAAGGGCCGCCTAAGGACGGCGATGGGAGGGGAAGGCTGCGGAAAAGCAGCACATCCCCTGGCTACAGTTAGTCCTAGGCTTAGCCCCCGTAAGCACCATGTTCCCTGCAGCCGGATTTGCTTGGCGAACGATCCAGCGACACACAGCACACTGCTGGGCTACATGAGATACACGCACTTAAGATTTTGTTAGACTTTGGAAGCGTGTCGTGGCTGCTCCTTCCTCCCAGTTGTGGGGTACGTGGGGAGCAGGGTATGGGCTACGCTTCAAGAGTTTCTACTCTACTAGTTATAGGTAACTTAAGATTTGTGGAGAATATATTAGCGCACTCGTCCGTCCGTGCGTCTTGTCTACTGCGTACTAGCGCTAGCGCGATACGAGAGGACGCAAAGTTGCGTGCATGCTCGCTAGATGCTCTGTGCAACTAGCTGTGAATGCTCGAAGGGCTTAGAAAGCGCATCTACTGGTTGCCTCCCCTTAACCTCATGTCGGGAACTTCGAGGAGCCCGAGTAGTAGAGAGCGGGGGCAGTTCTTTCAGGACCACTCAATAGCTTTATATTAGGTTTGTTTTGAGACAGGGGTGAAGCCCTTCCCTTACGAGACGTTAGATGGGACGTCACAGTTGGCAGCATTGCATGACTCGATGTAGCTGTTATCCCCTCTACGATTGGCTGTGGAATCAGTGGGACGGCAGGCTTTTCGACAATAGTTGTGTGGCTTTGTACATGTTATTTGGTAGTTCAGTAGCCTAATTGTCAAGTGCAACAGTCTGTAAAGCCACATTTTTCAAGAAGTAGTTCACTCTGGTACAGCGCCTATTGGGGCGTTACAGGCAAGCCTGCAAAACGGATGTGAAGGCACGAGCTTCATAGGTGGTAGAGAGGCTTGACTTGTTGGCCAACAAAATGTTCGTTGATGCGTGAATAAGGCTGTGCGGCCCAGAAGGGTATGACAGCCATAAGGATAGGCGAGGACTCAAAAATTTTGTCAGCTGGCTTGTACTGTACCGCACTTGATACCCCGCACATGGAGGGACATGAGTGCGCGTTGCGCTATTTTTACTGGGGAGAGAAACACTGCTTTGGTGGTTCTGATAAAACGAACGAAATCATCTACCTGCATGAAGTAATACGCCTCACGCCTTCATGCATCCCCTGACTCATAGATTTATGCCGTGACAAGCTCAACAGCAAGCTTTGGGGTTATTAGGAAAGCTGAATCAGGAGATCTACTAAAGCCTCACTGTACCCAGAAAGATAAAAAAATTGGTTCTCAACAATGACAAGGTAAATGAACACATCCTTTATCATCGCTTTTCTCTCAGAAGTACCCAAAGTGTCGTGTAAGTTGGCTGCGGTAGCCACTCAGCGATTAGGTGAGTGACCGCTGGGGCCTTCCATGCATTATGGACTATTCGAGGTTTCAGGAGCAAGGGGCGAAACTCCTGCGTTTTCCGTTAAAAAAGAGTAACCAAATCAAACTCAGAGCGTACGGATGCCGGAGCTGCGTCGCCCTACCATAAGCTACAGCCTAAGGGGAAGGCGACAAGGAAGTCAGAAAGAACCCACGTTCCTACGCAGACGCGGACAAGTATCATGCAACAATCCTGCTTCTAGTGGGGTAAACTAGTCACATAATGCAAATCGCAAGTACATGCCAAAAGCAGGACAGAATGTTACTAAGTCCAGCGGAGGCAGGCTGCTTAGCAAGCAGAGAGGGTGCACCAGGGATGTGGAATGTCCTACACGCAGGCTGTGTCGCATAGAAGAAGACTAAAGAGGATGGAGATTAAGCTGCAGTTGGGAACCTACCACCACTTTATTGTGTGTTTACACAAGTCCACATAAAGGTCAAGAAATGCCACCCCTATTTCACACTGAATGTACGTGAATCTGCGCTTCCTACGAGACAGCGTATGGATGTAATCTGCCTGTTCCCTCGTTAGACCAATCCATAGGAGCGCTCAGGTTAAGGATGCAATGATTGGCAAGGCTACAGCAGTACGCTGCAATTTCGAAGCGGAATCAAATTCTATTCGCATGACCTAGGACTCTATCTTGGAGCTGTCCACCACGATGTAATCCTAAGAATGCCCTGGGTGAATCATGGAAGGCGCTCGTGCGACCACAGCAATGGGCTGTGGTTAGAGTGCGAGAAGAAGCTAGAAACATGCAGCTCCTGGTCTCCTCAACATCGCTCTTCTCATTAACAGTACGCGGGGTAGAGGGGATACCTCAACAGGGTACAGCTGAGTTTTCATGCCAGCGCCTCTTGAGTGCAATGAAAGAATAAATTTCTGAGCATGCATCCCCCCTTACTAACCAGGCAAAAATTTTTGCATTGGGACGTTCAAGTGAACGCTAGAGAACAGCTGAACTGGCCAGCTAATAAGGAGTAGATCGTGGATGGGCTAAATACTGACGAGCTACCAACAGGCTCCCTACCTGCTCATCTTCCAGTGCATCAAACTGAGCTATTCCCCTGGAAAGCCTCACTCTCCGTTTCGAGGCTTTGGGAGCTACCTGCTGATAGTGCCATAAAAGGACGGAAGGTAGCAAAAGTGCGTTGGCTGTAAGCTGTGAAGCAGAATTTCCCAAGTTCTTTACACCGGCAAATTACTTCACACACTGCACGGCTCAACAGTCTACTCGAAATTTGACAGACGCTCACTCCCGGATCCCCATCTACCCAGATGACAGTCACAAAATTGCGTTTCACACTGGCACTCGTGAAATCGAGTGGACCTGTATACCGTTCACACTAGTTTCGTAGATTCATTGCTTCAGCTACAGGAATTGAGCCAGATCCTGCAAAATTGAAGCAATTATGGTGTGTCCTCTATCTTTGCGCACCCTCAATGACGCTCAACAGCTTTTATAAAATTCATCTTCGCACCGAAAACACTCTTTTGGATTAAACACCATCGCTGGTTTGACTGATCTACAGAAGTAGACCGGGTCCGCCACCTACCAACGGTGGTGATATAGCGGTGGGTGACATCTTCTATCCACAGGCTGTGGGCTCTTCGAAACATCGATTCTCGCTTGTGATACTTATCAGTTCACCCAACAAAGCAGTGGCATCCATTACAGAAAAAGAAACTGTACGGGGTATGGTGGGGCCTAGAAGGGCTGGGAATTTCTCATGGGCGTCACACATGCAATTTTCTAGTAAAGCCTCCCCTTCGTGCTGCCACCCTCACCCGACAGGCTTCCGGCATAAAGCACGATGAATAGGCGCCTTTGACCCTTCAAGCACTCGGAACCTTCATGGCGCGCTGCACACTGCAACAACCGGGGGGCTGCACACTGGTGGTTCTTGTGTTGAACTAGCTCTACTCTGCGACCAAACAGATATATGGCCAGCCAATGCCCTGTGGGCATCCCTACTAATTTTCTTTTAAATATTAATTTGTGAAGGATAAGCTGCCTAAGTGTAGCTTAGCGCCTTTAATTAAGTTTCGTCCTTTACTTGTCCTCCACATGTGGGTCGCGGGCTTTCGCTTAGGACCTCGATCTCAAGGCTCCAGGAAGGGCACTAGACTCTTGTTCCTGTCGGAGAGAAGAGAGGCACAAAGAGTAATGTACTGCTGCATATACTGCTTTGCTGGTGCCGACGTCACGGCACGCCACTAGGTGCCTCATTCTGCCGAGACAGAATTAACACCGGAGCAGGTGCGGGGGGTGCCCTGCTCCTTCACCGCTGATGAAACTGCTACGAATTCTTCCAAAAGCTTAAGACTGCCACTGCTGACTGCAGCGTGGTCATGAGGATATGCGCTACTCAGCGGCAAGCGGACGCTCTCTCCACGGCAACAGCGCATCGCTCTCCAGCGGGGTGGCTGTTAGCGCTCACTTGCAGGAACAGTAGCCATGACGGCGACATCCCTGGCAAAAAAGCATGCGCTGCTCCAGGGTGTCCAGACACTCTTGGGCAGGCAAGAGCGAAGGCTGCTTAAGGCAGGTCGTTGCCTCAACCCGTCAAGAGTCTTGGCAGCGAGCCCCCCCCCGTACCACCAAACAATTTCGCGAGCTCTCATCTGTGTGCCTTTCATTTATGTCTCCTGTATGGCGCTCCCAAAACAAATATAAAGGGCGCTGAGCCTATGGCCGTTGACAACGGCAGCCAAAGCCAGATCTCCGAGGCGGTTTGTCGTGGAAGTAGCAACACAAGTAGTAGCAGTACTAGTAGCAGCAGCAGCCTGTTGCCGCTGCTGCTGCTACTACTTGAGGTGCAAGTAAATCAGCACACGCTGCTCTTGGTACCGCTTCCTACGGAGGAGCAGCCTTCGCACGCATTGTTCTGTGCAGTAGGACACGAAGCCAAAGGGCTAGATCGTAAGCACCTCTGGTGTATCGGTCGCTGCAGGTTGTGAAAGCTCCAGCTCCTGCTTCTGCAAGTATGGAGATAAACACCGTAGCACAGACGCGGCAGTCGTAGCAGGAGGTGCAACGCCAGAAGTACTAACCGAGGACCCTCGCCGGGCAGATCTCCGCTGCACAGCAACACACTCGCACACCCTAGCCCTCATAGAGCCTTATTGTTCCTACGACTTTCAGCGTCGGCGACTCCTTTAGGATCTCTAATGCACCTGCACCAGAAGCGCAGCTTGGCGGTGCTCATGCAGCAGCTGCCGTTCCCCGTACGCTTCCCACCAGTGCTGCAGCTGCTGCAGCTCTCCCTGCCTGCATGCAGCCGCAGCAACACCAGTGATGGCATACGGCAAGAGTGACGCAGCTGCGAAAATACGCAGTCCACTTGCGCACAAAAGCTACTACACAAGTTGGACGACCAGCAGCAGCAGCAGCACCGCCAAAAGCGACCTCTTCAACATCCAAAGTCTATAAGCAGCAGAACACACCGCTGTTCTATCGCCTGGTACTTTTCTTGGAGCAGCTGCATGCGCTTATACAGGGCCTGCTTGCGTCTTGCCCGTTGTAAGCACAGCAACTGCCGCCTCAGCGTCTCAACTGTCTGTACTGCTTCCTTCTCTGCCTTCTGCGCCTTCTGATGGCGCAGCAGCACTCCCACCCGGCAAAATAGGGTTTAAAGACGAACACTGAAGACTGCGATCTAGCTAGACCTTAGGTAAGCGCCAGGATTTTGCTAAGGCCTCTTCCGCACCTTGACTTCCACAGATACGCGCATCAGTTCGGACGCTGCTTCTGCCTGCACATGCCGAGAATACACAACTTGTCAGTCTCAGCCATGAGCCCCTAACAAGCCACGCTCTCTCAGCAGCTCAGCTCGCCTTTCAAGGTTTACCACTCGGTGTTTCTCCCGCCTAGGGTAAGCTCATAGGTTTGAATATACCGCTTCTGCGCTGTCTAAGCTCTCAGCTGCCAGCTCCATGAGATCTTCCGCGTCCAAGCACCCTGCACAGGCCATAAAGTGAAAAGCCTGCCGTCGAAAGCTGCCGATTCGCTGCTGTAAATGTGCAATGGTGTTGTGATGTGGCGGAGTGAGGCCTACCTGGCATAGGCGGGGGTGCATTCGGTGTGCTCGGGCTGCACAAGGGAAAAAACACGCACTTCCGCAAAGCCGATCAGTGAAGCTCAATGCCGCGATGATACTTCTAGCAAGAGTGCCTTCTAAATGGTTCTCCGAGCAGCCTCGAACGCCCCCTAGGGCCCCCTATAGGGGTCGTGGGAAGCCACTGCTTACTGCATCCGCATGAGGTGGTGAATAGCCAGTCTAAGATCTTCTTCGGCCTCCTGAACAGCCAGATGCCAAAACCCTTCGCGGAAATGCCCCTCACATCGCCTGCCTGCCCGGTAGTATGCCGAGCAGCAAGAAGACAGTCTGATAAGGGGCTTGCTTTCAGCGTCGCAAACGCCAAGCGAGATCGACAGGCCTAAACGTTAGGGTTGCCGTGTTGCAGCCTCACCAGGATGCTCTTGGTGACTGACGCAATGCTACGCTGCAGCAGCAGCCCGCGTTCTGGATGTGTAGACAGCTTCCGCTCGCCTTCTTGGAGCCTCTGCTCGAGGTCTCTAATGGCTTCTGCGTTGACTCCTTCCTTCTCTTCCATCTCGTGCACCTGCATGGGGAAACCGCAATGCCCTTGAATGCCCCCTACAGCTATGCGCCTCAAATGAGAAGCCTCCAACAGACTAGACTTCACAAAACCACCTAACAGCCCTTGAGGCTGAGAATCTCTTCACGGCAGAGGCGCTAACTCCGAATTTGCGAGTCTCACAGCTTGTGCCGCGGCACGCTGGTGCTTTCTTAACATTTGCCAAAGGCCCTGAAGCACTTGCGGCAAGCCATCACTATCAGCTTCTGCTGCGGCGTTTTCCACTGGGATTTTCTGTCTGCCACCATCCCCTGCAGAGTCTCTGTCGCCACTGCTGCGGGCTGTGGAGCAGCACGACGGGCTGGCTGCGTTGACAAGGGCCTTGCGACCAGTGGCAACCTGTAAAGGGTGCACCTCACGCTGGGCAGACACAGTGGAGTCTGGCTTTCCCGCAGATTCCAAACTCCGGCTCGGATTGTCGCTGCAGCTGGTGCACCTACGCTGGCGGGTCGTTCTAAATCCTGGTGAGGGCTGGTTCAGAAGTTGATGCCGCTGCTCCTGGTGTTGCCGAGGGCTCGAGCTGCTGCACACTTCCCCTGCCCTAGAGAATTGGCTGCGGTATGAGGGGACTTCTCGAGTCCCCTCTGGCTGTATGTTCACATGCTGCCTGCTCATGCTGCTGCTGCGGCGGTGGTTGAGGTGCACGATGAAGTGCAACGCGGGGTCACTTAGACGCAATGGCTTAAGAATAGAGAACATTCAGATTTGAGGTGGCACCTGAAGGCCGAAAGTCTTTGGACTGTCGGCTCATACACCTACGCTGGCACGCAATGCAGAGGACTCTACTGGGGTACCCCCCCGCGCCCCCACAGGTGTAGCTGCCAAGGCAATAAAAAAATCCTATTAATGCAAAATCGAAGTTTATACCGCAATTTCAGATTAATCGACATGCAAAGGCGTAGTGGTGTGTGTCAAAAGACCGGGGAGCGGTTTCTGTCGGCGGCGGGCCGATGATCAGAACAAGTGTATTCTTCTGTCTTCTTCACACTAGACAATTAATAAAGGTGATTTTGTTCTCATTATGGCGTGCACATGCGGCCGTAGTGAGGCGCCAGGCTTCTAAGTTGGTCGTGAAGGCTTTGGGTTTTGGCGTTTCTGTATAGTTGAATAATAGGCTTCACCGCAGGGAATGCCGCAAGATGTTGCATGCCCAAACGGTTTTCGTACATATAAATCCAGCTCAATGGGCTATAAACATTCAATACTCTTTGTGCCTTGACAGTTGAGGTGCTCTTTCTCTACCGATTTCTCCTGGTGTGGCCGACTGTTTACCGCATTTTACTGCCCACCAAACCGTGGAACGGAATTTCCATGAATCCTCCCAATACTTCCCTTAGCGTCCTTCGCTGTATTTCCTTTGATGCTGCGACTTGGGAGGAAGTTATGGGTGGAGGAGAGAGCCTCACGATCTTCTCCAATCCTGGCTTGCCAGCTGGCATGAACCTGAACAGAGCCTAATTCCTCAGCCCTGAGATTCTACGGCTCAGAATCCCAGAATTACCCGTATGGAGGGTTGTCCGAGTACATAATATTCTTGGACTCGATGTTCTTTTGCTGCAGCCCAGCGAGCGGCTCTCCCTCTGGTGAGTCTGGTGCAGCACTGGCAAACACCTCATAAAAGCTACAACTGAGCAACTGACTTGCCTGTTTGGTGGCACGGCATCTGGGCTTTTTCGTGTGGAATATTTTCTGAATGATACTGTATGCATACCAGCTCATGACCAGGCTGCAGTTCTGAAACGGGTTGTACCGTGCTCCGTAGCCTCCACTTGCTCCTGTTGCTTTGCTTGTTGCGGCGGAAAGATGTAAGGAAGAGGATAGCCTGTCCTGTATGGCAGTTGCAGAACAGGCACAGCAGTTGTGGCTGATGGCTGCCATAGAGGCTCTGAAAGGTAGTACGTGAAAGGAGATCGCGCATATTGTAGATCGCTCGACATGTGGCAACGTACGGACGGGCTGGTTATACGATTCTAGGCCTCCTGGCTGCTGCCAGCCTCTGGGAATGATATTTTGAATTGGTCCATTCTATAGCGGGCACCGGGATTTGTAGTTTTTTTCATGAACCCATGACAGTTTCGACTGACTTGCAATGCATACTCCGGAAGCCCAAGGAATGCCACCGACCTCATGGCATGGGCTTTAAGGGTCTCGAGAAAGAAAATGTACAATATTTTTGTGCTCATTTGCGCAGAACAGCACTGTAAAGGCCACTTTTCCCCCCTAGGTTTGTTGAATGGCAGCTCCTCTTTGAAAGCCCCAGGTGTATCGGCACCTCACGCGCTGGAAACTTGCATGAGCAAGGATATTCAGCGCCAACAGATATTGGTTGACCCCGTATCAATCGATATGTGTTAACTGAACAATGCAAATGACTCTCGTATCGTTTCACTGTCATCGTAGCACTAGCACGACTTCCGCATTTCATTCTGACCCTCTACACCACATTGGCAAACTGCTACAGTCATTGTTATCAGTACCACCCACCATCCTAATACAACCAATATACTTACTCACACCGGTAGCTTGAGGTGCAGGAGAGCGATTCCCTGCCTCGCAACTGTCGTCTAACCAAGCCATCCCAAATTGTTGCATCTATCTCTGGAGGGATATGCTTTAAAGAGGGCACAGCTGTGCATCCCTAAGCGCGAGCAGTTGGAGACACTTATGACACTGTCGAACGCTTGAAATGGTATAAACTTAAGCATACTGGAAAAAAGGTTCAAGTTTCGATGTACTCGCTGCATCAAGCTGCCAACATCTTTAAGAGTGCAGAGCTAACTGAGGCGTTGCTCGTCAGCCCCGTCTGTTGCTTCTTTGTTTCTTCCTTCCTCGCGTACATAACTGGTGACTTCCCTACACCTCCTGGCTTCTTGGAGGATAAGAATGGTGCAGCAGATGTGTGCACGTCAGAATCTTCTGCCATTTCTTTCTCCTTCGTTTTACTTAATCTTAGCTGGCGCTGCTCCACAGAGTGCTTCTGCTCCAAGAGCTCCATGTAGATTTGGCTTTCCTTCTTAACTCTGGTCATTTGAGCATTCAGCCTATCCTGCCGTGTGCGTTTCACGTGCATGACGTCTTCATAGAGGGAACCAAAGTCAAAGCCTTTGAGGTACGAAAGCATGAGTAGGTCTTGGGCGTGTTTGTTTCTCTTCTTCCCTCCAAACGGCTGCCCGTGCATAAGAGCCACGACGCGCTTGGCATGTTTCTTCTTCCTGTACTCTATCCACCCATCGGTAAAGATGAACCCCTTGCCACGTCTATTACCCTTCGTATCCTTACGATTTAAAAACACCCGGGTCACCTCCCCAAACTTCTCAAAATAACGGATCACTTGCATGCGAGTCCACCCGTGGGGCAACTGGGCAACATACACAACACCCCTCCCTTTGATCTCGAGTTCACCCCCCAACTCCTTGCTGGGAGCCTCAGTGGCCTCACCAAGGCTGCCGGCGTTATGCGCATCTGTCGGCTCTGGAGTGACTGCCGGGGAGGTCACGCCTCCCTCAGACCCAAGGGGTGCCATTCTAAGGGGCGCCAAATATTGCAGTTGCCACACCTACAAATGCTTTCCTGATGTCGGGCACCAACAAATGCAGCATTGCAGATGAATCAGCGGCAAACAGCGCAGAGCCAGCGCCCAGTGAGAGGACTATAGAGCTAAGTCCCTTAGACGATGGCGCTGCGACATGCAACTGTAGAGCCAAAAGGAATAGAGCCCTTAGCAGTTGAGCAGTAGTCTCTCAGTAGACAATGGCTCTGCAACAAGCAACAGTAGAACCCCAGGGGAAAGAGCCCTAAGCAGTTGAACAATAGACTCTGAGTGCTAATGCTGGATTCAAAGATAAAAACGATGAGATGCACCCGGAGAAGACTGCATCAGCGTCTGGGAGGCCCCTCTCAGTGTGGGGCGCCCGAGCACAACAACGTAACATGTAGCGCCTCCCCTTTCAGCCTGAAAAACGCTCAGAAGTGAGCGAAAGCTTATTGCTTCAAAACAGAATGCTGACTCGAAACGCCTGTGGCCGCATGCATGAGGTCCGACTGTGCACTCGCCGGGGCCCCGAGGCCCCAGCCACTGTCGCTCATTCAGTTGGGTTTCCAACTGGTCTGCGCGGATATGCCCTAATCGAAACTAGGCACTGCCTCCACTAGAGTAATATGCACGAGAAAGCAAGGCTAAGGCTTCTGATTCGTAGTCTTTGGACCTCCTATGGCTCGAGCAACTAGCTTTGAGCATTTAGGGTCCCGCGGCCTTTTCGTTGCCTTGCAGGAGGCGTGCAACCCCTGCTTGATGGGATGCGATACCCGGATTCTAACAGCTTCTCTTGCATGTTTGCGTAGCCCTCACTCTCCCTTGAGGCTACTCCTTAACCACTGCAAGGCCTCAGTATCAGTTGACCGGGGCCGTTACAGCTCACTCCGCAAGTTACCCTAGACAGAGGTCAAGCCTCAAGAGGGAATTCCAAGCTGCGTGCTTAGTGCCTAGGGCTTTGGTTGTGGGGCCCTGGACTAATTTCCTGGTATCAAGGGTAGGGGTTCTGCGCACGAAACTAAGCAATGTCCTCTGAACCGGGCTCGTTTCTTCAAATTAGTGACTTGGAGGAAAAAGAACCTGAACTTCATCCTAAACTCCAACGATGTAGAGAAGTGTGCCATTCAATTTTAATCGCCGAACCAATGAATCTTCAAAAAATTGTGTAGTCCCACTAGGTTCGAAATTAGTCGCCGGTACACGCTTATACCCAGTTCAGCTTTTCAGCACCCTAAAGCCGGAATGGGTCTCAAGCAAGGGCATGCATGTAAGGGTCAAGAGTTTAAAGTCTTGTGTAGTGCAGGTTGCCTCCTCCGGTCCTCCTCCGGCCCCGCGTTATACTGTGAACACTCCTCACGAGGAAGTCGTGCTGGAGCAGCTGAAGCTCTTTGAATCACAGGCAGGAAACCCTAGACTTCAGAGCACGAACGCCAACCCTCGTAAATCCTCCCCGTAGTTTCATGCCCCTAAGTTCTGGTGGGGACGTGGGGACTTGGTCTGCGTGGTGCAGTTCCGGCAGTTATTTGGAGAACGCTATTTGTTCCTGGCACCACCGAACGAGTTTGGTTGTTTGAAGTTTGTTTGTTCTTCACTAAAGCCTACTCTTGTACCTTTCCCGTGAGGCACAAAACAATGATCCCGATAATGCGGCTTTTGACGTCGGCCGGAATGCCCTCACTGCTGCTCTTAGTGCTGCAAAGCTAGCCGCTGTTGGTCGTCTTGTTTCTGCTGCTGGTAGCGCTGCCTCTGTTGTTGCCGCCCTTGTGCCTCTGCTTGACGCTTCCGCTGGCTTTTGAGCCAAAGGTACTTTCGCACAAGCTTCCACACCGCCACTTTGTTGTGCCCCTCCTAGGGAGTGTTACGAGTTGGAAGGACTCGCGTCTTTTGTGTCGGATTACTTCTTCTATGAAACACTAGAGCCTCCCGACCGGTGCCCCCCATGTCTGCCATCAGTAGAGCGCCTTTTTCGCTGGCGAAGGGGAGACAGCTTCGATCTGTCTATTTGTCTTGCTTCCTGTCTTTTGGGGGCCGGATTTGACGCGTACTGCGTGGTCGGCACTGCACCAAGAACAATTGCTACGAATGATCAGGTACCCCTTATAGCGTAGACAGCAAATGCTCCTGTCAATCCTGAAAGCATTCACCTTGACCTCGAATGCCACTCAGCACTTCAAATGCTTCAAAAATGCTGCATTCTACTGCCTCCTTATTTGTGTCTTTTGCCCCTAGACCGACAGCGACTGTCCCTTCCCGCGCTTTTCCGAAGAGCCGTCCGAGCAGGCGGGGACTTCACAAGGAGCCTGTGTCGAGGCAACACCTGAGCAAGTATGCAGTGGAAGGCCTGGCACTAGGCTGTAGTACACCCAATTCTCCACGCTCACGATCGTGCACTTTAAAATACGGAGGCATACCAATCTGTTCGGACAGTGTCTACTCGGGATCAGCCTCTGCAGACCCCTGCCACTGACAAGGAGCGTGCGAAGCCACGGCTCGGGCAAAGGATAGAGGGGCTAGCGCAGGCTACTGAGGGTGCAGTATATGGGGCTTGCTTCTGTAGGCACAGCCAGCAGGAGGTGTCCATATAGAAATACCAAAGCCCTTGAGGTTCGAAGAGTTAGAGCAGCTCGCAGAGGAACGCAAGCAAAAGAGAAAAGCCAAAGAAGCCGTAAGGGGTGTACTTCTTAAGCCTTCGTAGCCCCCGCCTACTGACATCCTGTTCCCTGGTATCCCTGTGGGCCAAACAAAAGGCTACTTCAGCTCAAGCTCGCAGCCACGACCTTCAGTCAGAAGCCCAGACGCGTCACAATCCTAATCCTGAACATAAGGGCTTTTGCGCACTCAGGCATTCTTGGCGCCCTTTACTTCAGAACAGGGGGACTCCGAAATACAGAAAGACCCCTTCGAGGGCTGCAGAGTTCACTGCTGGGTACTCGTTCGCGCCGGTGCTCGCGGAGTCGCTTCTGACGTCTTCATCAACCCGTCTAGCGGTCTGGTCCCCCTCCTATTTCAACACTGCAAAACGTTTAAAGCTTACACTCTGAAAAGCACCCGAGAGCAGCTCGACTTATCTTTCTCGTCCCTGGACGACGTTTCCCATACGCAGCCTCTATACCGTAGACTTGACGTCCGATCAGAACTACAGCTGCGTTCCACAAAAATGCCAATAATTCCGCAGCTGTTTGCCAAAAGGGATCCCGGACGTGGGGTGCTGTGACACAACTTTTCAGGCAGGATTTACGAGCGAACAAACAGCCCATTTTTCACCGTCCACTTTTTGTGGAATGCAGAAAACTTTTGGGTAGGCCTAGTCGTAAGGGCAAAGGCGAAACATAAGCCTTACCGATCCCAGGACTTGACAAACCCTGCACTCTGTTGTTGATGTTGACGACTCAGTGGGATTTGTCGTTTAACGCAGCGTATTTGTGAGCTTGGTGCGTGGACATGGCTGACTCGAGCATGGCTTTTAGAGCTGCTCAAATAGCGCACACCATAAAACATTTGCAGTTTATGAGGGTCACTGTGGCAGGTTAACATGAGGCCCAAACTGAAGGCGCAAGATGTGGTTTTCTCTCTCTCCAACAGGCGATTCTTTGAATGCGCTCTCTGCATGCCCCAGCAAGTGAGGCTTTATGAGGCATCTGGTACCTTAAGGATTCGGAAGTCTGAAGCTTGGGGCTCCCGGGTTTTGCGGCGCCCAGATAATGTAGCTCCCGTTTATTCACCTTAGGACACCACAGGTAGCTACAGACAGAGAACACGCACGTTTTGTCGGAGATGATTTACTGTAGTGTGAGACAGGGATATCTTTTTCTGCAGCCTGAGGACAGCGATGGACCACTCACGGATGCCAAGGCAGATAGAAACAAGGGACACCTCAACGTACGGGCAAGAATTGATATCTGGAATATGGCGCTTCGACTTGCGAGACAGCTATATGACAGATTGCGAGTGGCTTTCCAATCTACTGCCGAACAGCTCAGATTCCACTGTTTGCGTGTAGTGTGCTGACAATTAATAGTCGTTTGAGGTTATAAGAATAGGGTTTAAGACCAAGGCATAAGGATCAGATCTTATGTATTAGGGTTTATGTTGAAGGCCCTGTTAGCCCCTAGAGCTTGGGGGCTCGCCGTCCGCTTGTCACCGAGTGATATGCAAAATCGCTACTTTGGAGGGCAGAAAACAATCTTCTACAAAAATGCAAAGCTTCAGGAGTTCCCGCCATACTCCCAAGTAAAACCATATGTCCTACATCCGCGTCGGTTGTGGGGTGTTCACGCACTAATGCGACTAATAGTGTTGCTTATTAGGACGTTGAATACGTGGGATGGGGCTTCCTAGGGGTCATCAAAGTTCACAGGAGATAAACCCTTTAAAGGATCCGGTTGGCGTTTTCGGCGTGTGCGCTGCTAGGCTGATGGTCTTGTGCGTAGCGTAACCTTCTACGCAGACCCTCGACGAAAATTCCCAGATGAAATACGCTTCCAGTTCAAAAACAGGCGGTAGGAGCCTCCAACCCTTAGCCTCGAAACTTAAAATCCTAACCCAACTTCCTGCGATCCAGGGACCATGATCAGGTTCCCGCACTGCAAAGCGCTATGCATGTCAACGCTTCCCAGCGCAATGCGGAGTGCACACACGCTTGGGACTGCCCTTTAGGGTTCAGCGCCATTGCTTCAAGGCGTTGAGCTCCACTAGTCCAGAATTTTGAGTCGTGCAGAGATGGGCTGGAGGAACGCATTTTCTGGCCAATGGCACGCCGCCAAGTGGAGCGCTACCGGCCAGGCAATCCGCATGCTTTGCGAGAAGTTGTAACGGTACGCGCTAGGTCCTGAAGTTCTAAATATGAAGGGCTAAGTCCTATTCCAGAGCTCCTGACTCCCAATTATGAAGCTGTTCTTTGTGCGACTTTCAGGTCCACGGCGAAAGCAGAGAGCTTTGCTTCTACAAGTCAAGGTGAGTCTCCCTGGAGCCTCTCGGATTTAGGGTCTAGGAGTAAGGATATACGGTTCAGACACAAAAGGCAGGGGTGTTGTGGCCTGTTCAGACTGGACGGCCTCGTGAAGCATTTGGAGGTAAGCCCCGCTGCCAAGTGCAATAACTGGCCTTATAAATTCTGACATCCACGTGCTGGACTGTGAGTCCCTGCTCACAAGCAGTCCTCCAAATACCCCAGCGCATGGGTGCTTGACGGAAAAGCAGACGTCCACTGGGTTAAGTTCGGCGGCTCCTTCTCAGTGCTTTGGAACAAAAATTTCCGAGGAGTTTGAGGGGAGGGATGATGGGCTGATAGCGCATGCAGTGAAGTTCAGAGAAGGCATGGAGGCAGAGGAGCAAAGCGAAACTCTCAAGGTGCGGCGCAGGACATTTTAACCTTAAGGCTTGCCATAGACAAAATATGAAGCTTACCGCATTTTGGCTTCGGACAAGTGTGTACGTTGCTCCAGAAGGCGCTCTATTAACCCTGACATTTGTACCCAGAAAAATAAAATCGAGTATTATATGGAAAATCTTTAACGGTGCGCTTTACAGGTGTCTGGATCTTTGGTGTGTATCCTTCGAGTATCTGCAAAATATCGCCGGCCTGCTGAGGTGCGCCCTCGAGGTTCCAGCTTTTGAAATTAGACGTATATTGCACACTCTGCTTTTAGGCCTAATGGTTAGGGCAGTGATGCGCTCATCTGACTATACCATATACGGTTTGGAGAGCAAGTTCCAAAGATGAGAGTTGCGTCTGCCGGTTTTCCAGCAAAGTATGGTAAAGCAAAAGAGGGCTGCAGCTAGGGCTTTACAAATGCCAAGAGTGCATGCTTCTGTTTTGCATTTGGGATATGCCGACACCTCAGTAAGTGTGCCGTATATGCACGAGAAGAAAGAGGCACTAACAACGTTGGATTTGCACTGCGGGATTTCCGCTGCAGATGAATAACGGATCCGCGTTAAGCAAGCTTGTCTATTGGGGGGGAGGGAAAGCACGTCTTACGTTACATCCCCCGAGAGATTCCATCATCAGGCCCGTCCTATACCTCAAACGGGTAATTCAAAGCAGTTCAGCAGACCGTATACCCTCAACCACACAGCCGAACTCTTGAATACAAAAGCAAATTCAGACAGTGCAGCCACAGCAAGGAAGAACGTTCGTAATGCGCCTACCAAGGCACAGCCCTTCTTATGAACCTTCCGGCGTAAAGTCTGGCTGTTACCTGCTTTTATATCCTCTAGATTACACATTCGCGGATATCTGTGTATGGATAGTGCAGATCCGGTCTCTCCTGCAATATGACGGAGAAGCTGTCCCCTTTTGCGGAGCCTGTGGATGCCCTCCTCCAACAGAGACAGAGGTGCGGCTTTCAGGAGAAAGGCACCACATGGGCTCTAGGCAAGCGCCTTTCCTCGAAAATTAAACTCCTACTTACTTTACTGCACAATTTTACCATCAAAAGGGTGGGATATGCAAGCAGTAGAGAGCAGATAAATTTTAATCGGCCAGCTTACAGACTCAATGGTTTAATGCAAACAAAGAAATTGCGCTGGACTACCAATGCTTCACACACAGTCGCACAACCTGTGAATGTACAAACTGTCAAGTTTTAGCTTTTTGCACTGCGCTTCGCATGCAAGGGTAAGGAAAGGTGAAGGGCACAAGTAGGACTTTGAATGCTCGGCATGTGATGAGCCGCAGGTCGCTCGCTACAGAAAGATGTTAAAGGACTTGGTAATGAGATTTTCTAGTGTCGTAATCCCACAGGCAGAGGCAATACACGAGGTAGGCTTCCGAAGTCCTAAATTGTAAATTCCCGAATTGTGCGTCGCACAGACCTGATACGATAGAGTGTGTGTGCATTCGGAAGGCATGCCAGGGGGCCGGGGTATGTGGTATGACTGATCAATAGCATCAGGAGACACAGAAATACTTCCTGTTACTCTAATACGGCGCCTCTGGTCTAGGCGCTAGTTGCATGCACGTTAGGCCTTCGTTTGCAGATCAGCGTGTTTTCGTACAGCAGGGATTACTTGTTCGCATCCTTGGTTTGTGGCTCGCGGGTTGCGATATTCTGCATAGTGGCAGAGGCAACAGGAAGAGGCAATGCACTTTTCGAGGAAAGCTGAGGAACAGAAGCTGCTCGGCAAGAAGCTGTGGGTCCTGCGTCACGACGAGGATTGTACTGGTGCTACGAGAGTGGACAAGGCAGTGGGGGGGGATAATTCCATCCTCCTTAATACCTTGAGTTCTGCTTTTTCTGGCCCTGATGATGCTGCCGGGACTGCCGGAGGGGACGCAGCAGAGTCATTAACTGCAGCTAAAACAGCAACAAGGGATTCTGAACAGCCAACCAATCAGATGGAGAATAAGGGAGGAGAACATAAATACCCCTTTTGCCCGCATGGGACGCTTGAGGTTTCCTTATCGGATGCTGCCGTATACATCGCCTACGAAACTGCTCCTCCACAGCCGAAAGAGCAGGAGGAAGAAGCCAAGCCAAGCGAATATTGCAAACAGGCAGGGGCTCTCTCTCTCCTGCTCGTGCTGATGCTCCTATTTTTCTGGTTTTGTGCAGGCGCTCTGCATGTGCTTCTAGTCTTGCCCTTGTGCTTGTGTTCGTTGTCCTCCCGCTGCATTTGGTGTGCTTCTAAGCATCACGCTTTTGCATATCATGCACGCAAAAGAGCTGCAAATTCAGGATCAAAGTAGGGCTTTCAGTATACTTTTCTGCCTGGGCGATGCAGATTGACTTCCTGGCCCCTTATATGACTGCCTACGAAGGTGCGCCTCTGGAGCAGCGCTTCAATGAAAGTCATGGGCACCGACCTCATGAACAACCGCAGACCACGTCCGCTGCTACTTTTCGTGCATGCGTTTTTGCTATGAGGTATAGGTAGAGAAATAAACTGTGCAAAGGCAGAGGAAATCGCCAAGAGAGCAAAGAATGACCTTAGAGTACGCCGACACGTAACAGACTGCTTGCTGCAGTGCTACAACCACCGTGAAAGATGCACAGCTTTTGAAAATGGCAATAACAGTTGAAATTGATGATAAGTATGCACGCGCATAGTGGCAAGTAAGTGCGAAGAGTCACATCAGAACGGAATGTGCCTACTACCAATGAAAACTAAAAGGCTCTTGCACAAGTGAGATGCAAGAATCCAGGTACTTCTAACAAATTGCATAACATGCGCAACACGGTATGCGTGTAAATATACCAATGCCCCTCTTCATCTACATTTAAATGCGCAGAACGCCTCTCCTTGGACATGTCAACAGTTTTGTGGGGCGTCATACGTGAGGCAATGGATGTGTGGATTAGTAAATATATCTGTGCTCAAAATGAACATATGGCTCCAATCTCATCTTTTTCAAATAGCCTGGCCGCTTGTGCGATATGGTAGCGTACAGGCATTTGCATGAAAACACAAATACAGTTACAGATATTTTGCTAAAGACACTGCTACAATTTGAGCAGTAGCGACACAAATTTGCGTCTAAGAATTTTGGCTTCATGGTTTTAAAAAGGAGCGCTATGTGGCGTTTGCTCTTCAGTTGCGATTGATGGGGAAGGCTGCAGCAATTCAGCAGCAATTGGAAGAGAAGCAAGAACAACTAAAACGTATAAAGGTAAAAGCATATACAAAGCCAAACGAAATACATGAGCGGAGAGTCTACCCTTAGGGCCTTTGAAGAGCATGTGGGGGATGTGCAATTTACACACAAAGCTTGAACAAACTCAACAACGAAATCCTGGGAAACGCATGTCGAGTGCTTCCGTGAAATCGGAGAGATTCAGCGTGCCTTAGCCAGCAACCAGACAACAGTTATCTGCATATTGCTGCCTCTTGCTTGCCGCAAATCATGCAGAAATCGATGCTTGCACCATCCGCAGGCCCTGCCGCCTCGCTTAAGCTCAGTTGCCTGCATGGCAATCTTTCTTCTCATCTTTTATTTCTGCTTTTATGCTGATTCATGTTCAGCAGTTTAATGGATATGCGAATTGTTGTATTTCATATGTATGCATTTAGTGGGAGTGCCTGCGCCGGTCGTGGTGCCATTTGTACTAGCGTATTGAAAATACGAACTCTCAAAAAACCACCTTTCCTTGCGGGTCCGTGTACTCCATAAATAATGGCAATGTTCCCCCTAGTTGAATCTGAGCCTTTTGTGAACTGTGTCATCCTTTCTGGCTATTATTTTGAGTGCTGTTGCTGGCTTCTTTGTTCATGAAAACGATACTCTTGGTGTGTGTCTTAGTAGCACTTGTACTCAACTTGCGAGCTGCCGAGAAGCTACTTCTCTTGCGGGTCCGCCTATTCCACTGTTAATGCCGCATTAACCTCCTTTTTGACTTTTGAATATCTGTGAGTTGTGGCTTCCTGACGTTGGCATATTAGTTGTGATGAACTATGCTCTCAGGAACAAATGCAGCGGAAGGCTAGGGAGGCTCAGGGGGAGGGTGGCGAACACATAGACATGCAGGAGGCACTGGAGCGCCATAATGATTTGGTCTTTAGGATTCAAATTCTAGAGCAGAGACTCAGCCGGCATGAAACGCAGGTTAGTAGCCACGTGTTCAGTTTCAGTAGGAGCAAAACTAATGGAAGCACTGACAGAGGGGTGGGAAGCCATTTAGGAATGTTTTTCTTCAAGGCCTTGTCAGGCAGATTTTCAGCTGTAAAGTTTGGATACCATGTGCTAGTCCATTAAGGCGGATGCCTTCTGCAGCAAGCATAATAGTGCAAGGTCGGCGATGTGGAGTTTACTGCGCAGGCGCTGCAAAAGCTTAACGATCTCGAGTGTGCCATTCTCAAAGATCCGCGTTTGAAGGCCATGTGGGTCCTCCCCACTTGAATGAGCTCTCATTTCCGTCATCTATAGTGTGAAGCTCATTAGTTTCAGTACGCCAGACGATCCAAATCGATTGTTACTTAGCGGTGTTAGCCAGTGGGTTGGCTCGCCTACTTTGCCTCCCAACTACTTTGCGTCCGTTAAAGGCAACAGGCCTTTGTGACCTTGTGCACAGAGCTGTGTACCCTGTTGCCAGCAAGCCCTGAATAGCGGCTGCTGATTAACTACTTGTTTTTGCTAGCTTATAGAGACGACCTCCTTATGCATCAGTCCGTAGGTTAGCGTGAAGCTGTAGATCCTATGTTTAATACTTTGAATTCGGAGCCGGACCCACAAGCAAAGTCACCAGCAGAGTAAATAATTGCAAAAACTAAAGCGAGGCCCGTTGAAAAGAGCCAAATGTGTATCAACTATTAGATATAAGTATATTTGCTACATCCCGACTTGTGTCTACTGCGTTTTCCTTGTCGTTGGTTGCGCTTCGTAGTGGTTTTGGCCCCACGACTCTTGCTTCTCCTGCTGATGCTTGCGCTGCTCGTACTCCCTCTAAGTAGTTTCCTATTTTATCCATCCTGCCATTGCGGTTGTTTCCCTTTTTGACTTGCCAGAAACTGTTTCGAGGTCAGCGAAAGGGGCTACCCCAGAAAACCCATATATCTTGAGCCTTCAGTATTTCTGAAGTGCTGTGCCATAGCAGTGTCTTCAGTTGCCTCGTTGCAACAGCATACCGTCCTATTGTATACTTCCAGTTTCACAGAAGGGGTCATATTTAACACTTTATGTAAAATCATATCAAAATGGGGCGGCCGAAGAAGAGAAGGTAATCAAAAGGTGCATGATTGCAATATAGGCACGCAGCTTTAACAGCCACACTCCACGCGTCATCAGTAGCACACACAGCTTAGGTCCCAAAGTGTATTTTATAGCTTATGTGAGGGCGCCTGAGAAGAAACACGGATGGCTATGCAACCAGAGGGAGAGGGACTGCTGGACACTTGCACTGTTTCTGCTAGTGTCGCCACTATAGCATCGAAGCTGCTGCGTACCTTACATGGTGGCCTGCTTGCAATATCCATGCTTATGAATTCGAAACTGTAAGACCGGTAGCAACAGATGTAGAAGGAACTGCAGACCAAACAGTCTACCGATGCCAAGGATGACCATGCGTTTTTCAGTATTAGGTGAGTCTCTATCTCTGGCCGTTGCTTATAGCTACGCCACTACCGCAGGTCACACCCTTTTAACGCTCATTGTCCAAGAGTCACTCTATCAGACAACACTGCAATAAGCTGGTCGATAGCGCGGATGTGCAGCAGCAGCGAGAGGCATCTCAATGTTGCTGCTGCTTTTACTGCCTTGCCCCGTTCGGGTTGGAGCTTTGCATCCCGTCATAGAGCTTTGGTTGTGTTACTCAGGCCCATTTGGCCCACCCCCGTATCTGCCTGCCTTGAGAGTCACTAGCCTTGGGCATCTGTGAAGAATACACTCCGGCGTTGCATTCGTGACATTAACCACATAACAGCAGCTGCTGTCCCCCCAAATTTATCCTTTTGTTCTTGGGACCAAGTAATTAATCGCAAGGACCTAAGGCAATGGAGTGCAACATCAACAACAGCTACTGCCGAAATGCCCTGTAGTAAACCTTACACTTGCAAGCAAAAAGGCACATTCCAAGCAATAGCACATCGTGCTGCTTTGGTTGCTGCTGCTGTTAAGGCGTCTGTCAACACTGCGTCACCAACACGTTCTCCAGCACTGATACAATGCAACTGTGAAGCTTTTGCTTGAAGGCAGTCTACAGAGCTGCGAAAACTACAGCAGCAATTCCGAAGGCACCGGACGCTGCAGCAGGAAATGGCATCACCTGGCTCATGCCATGCAGCTCCTAGTAGATAGAGAATGTGGAGTCAGCCGCTCCAGTGGCAATAGAAGCACCCATTATTCTTGCAATGGAGATTAACGAAATCAGTAGTCAGCTGCGGGATGCTTCAGCACAGCGGCAGCAATATTAGTCCGTCCATCAGCATGTTCTCCACAAAAAGCAGGCAATGCTGCGACCGCTGTTGTTAGGGTAAAGGCTTCTGGAGATGATGGTTTTGCTTTAACAGTCCTATGATCCATGTCCACTGTGGTTACTTCGTTTGCAGCTAAATCCCCTATATTTGCTCCTGCTGACACTAGAGCCGTGCTGCTATACTGTTGCAACACATGTGAATGAGAGGCGTCTATACTACAAGAGAGTACTAGTATCAAGTCTAGCGCCACTTGCGCTGAGTAGTAGCACATAATCAGCCGCCTCTTTGCAACAGACGAAGAAAACAGTGCAGTACTACAATTGTCAGTACAGCAGGCGTGGCCTGCAACAGGCCCATACTGCAGCTCCTGTGTCTCAAAAAAAGCAGGTGCTCTGGGTGATGGGTGTCTTATATCATGAGCTTGGGGACGTCAAGGGCATTGTGCCAAGGTCGAAGGTGCATTTGCCTTGCTTCACAACCTCTCCATAGTACGAAGCACTGGAGGCTTTGCAAAACCCTGGCACTGCTAACGGTGCTACGTATAAGTCATGGAGTTACTGCGGCTACCACTTCCACCGGTGCCGGTGGTGCTAGTGTCTAGTTGACTGATCCTGTTGACGGCGTTCCAAATGAGGAATACCCATCTGCCGGTACCTTTCCGCCTAGGGCTGCCACTTTGCGCTTTAGTAGGTCTCATGCATGTCCTGGTAGGCACGTCTTTTGCCCCTTCTGCCGCCTCACCGTTCGGTGTGCGGCCACCTTACAAGCTTATCAAGCCAGCCGTCCAGCTGTAAATACGAATCGAATGGCGCACACATGTAGAACTGACGGAAGGTTCATAGATCTGGAAACACATTGGGCAGCTTTCCGCAGGTGCTTCCACCTATGGTCTCATGACTCGCTTCTAAGAGTCAAGGGCTAAAAGGCTAAATGCCTGTTTCTTTCACAAGCGATAGTATTTGCTACTCGTTTTGGGATGCAGTAGTTAGACGCAGCGTGCATGATAAGGGGAAGGATACCACCATTGGTGCTTCAGGACGAGACGCATGGCCGCTCTCATGATTCTGTTTAGAAACTGCCACACACGACACCCCTCTGCATGGATTTCTATCAGCAACTGGAGAGTCAGGTTCCTGTACCGTTGCGGCGCGCCACCCTGGCTGCTACCGCGTGTGATTGCAGTGCCTTGATGTATTGCTGCGGTGTAGTGTTTCGCCGAAAAACAAGACTTCTTCAAGGCCCATGAGCAATCAATGGCTAGACACATCCTCTGTGCGTTCTGCCGCTGCCCTCAGCATTAAGGGCTGCACGAGTAGCGATATTGAGCACGGGGAGCGACAAATATTAAAAACCACCAGCACTTACAGCTCAGTAGCTGATCCTGCCCGGACCCCGGGGTCACCGTCAACCTATATCCCCGGCGTTCAACTAGAAAAAAAGAATGATACGAATAAAACTTTTTTTCTCGGCTGGCTTATCATCGATACCCCGTAGGGTCGTGCATTTCTTGGTATTCCAATGCTGCGAGCAGGATAACACCAATTCGCTTGAGTTCGCGAGTCGCTAGCTCCAAGAAGAGTTGTTGCTCTCGCAGTGCCTCGTTTTGCATGGCTATACAATGCTCCTGATGCTTGTGCTCTTGATCCTAGTGCTGGCTAAAACCTGGCTAACTTGTTCGCCTTGAAAGCGTTCGTGCCCTTGCAACAGAGCAGTGCCGTTAGCATGTGAGAACGCTGTCGTGGTCACAATAGCCACCGTAGCACGCTCGCTGGTTTGCGTTTCTTCGCCAGTAGCTGTAGCTGCTCACGATAGTGTTGTGTGGCTGCCCTGTTCACTTTATGAACGGAAGGAGTTGCAGCTAAGAGGATGCTCAATTGGATGATACCTCTATACTTCTGCAACTAAACACAATCGTCTCGCCGTGCTGCACGCTGGGTATGGTATTGAGTATATTTACGCTGTCACGAAGCCTTCCACAGACTTTACTTTTGAACGAGCTCTCACGCGGATATTGAATATGGTGCAGTCGGCCACTGCATCGTGTACGTATAGCTGCTCAGTCCTTGGTTGGTAGTGCAATTTTGAAACTTCTACGGCTGCCGCTCTGCTACTGCGGCAGCTATGCATTTTTTCAGCTGTTTTAAGAAGGATTGGAATGGGGCGTTTCGGCAGCAGGCCATTTGGTCCTGCTGTGGAACAGCTGCACAAGCCAAACGTGAGTCTTCGCAGCTGCGGACTCTGAAATGCATGAGACCCTTTTGCGACAGATGTGCAATAGATATTACTTAAAGGGGATTGAAATTAAACCCTAAAACGAGGACGCTCACACATTTTTGAGGATTTAGCCGTCGTTGAAAGTTGGCCCTTTTAGTTTCCGCTTCCTGTATCGTCCACCATATCTATGGCGTCTTCAAACTTTGCGTGTGCGCATGCATAAGTGTTCATTGGTGCCTATGTCGGCAGAATTGTATTTTCAAGCTGAAAGAACATCCGCTGATACATAAACGCGCACCCAGATATACTGACATGCTCAACAGAGTCTCTGCATGAGCAGCTCCACCTAGGTGATACGCCATTGCCCCGTGTACGCATTTACTTGGAGGCCTTTTCTCTGAGCAAGTAAGTGTGCATATATAGGGTTCTCTGCAAAGATGTTCACAGACGTATCAACTCGACACTCACAAACACCTCTCAACACGTTGAGAAAATGGATATTACCCTGCGGGGATATGTGTATCCATAGGCACTCGAGATACGTGTTGAACTTTCTGGAGTGTCTGTGCGCAAGTATGACTCCACTGTTCAGTCACAAAGATGCTTGTGTATGCATTTTACTTGAGTCTGGATAGCCCTCAGGACCAGGAAAATCGCATATAGAATAAGTCACTGGGCAGCATTGAATTGATCGAATACTGCAAACTCTGTGTACTGCTGCCCTTGATGCTGTATCCACTGAGAACTCGCCTGCAGTGGGAAATACCAGCGGTAAAAGCCTTGTTGCTCTACGCTGCCGTAACGGCGTCGCTTGAGTGCAGCAGCTGGTCGGCCACGCTCAGTATCGACAACACCAGTAGCACTTAAGTGACAGACGTATTAGGAACATTAGCAACAAAGTGCACAACAGCATATGTACTCAAATTAGCACCGGCAGCACCACTGTATAACTTTGCGGTTTCTCGTCTTTGAGCTGCCTGAAGCCCGCGGGGGAAGGAACTATGGTTTGTGCGTACGGAAATGTCCATATGCATGCATCTTAGAGGGCGGGCAGGGCATCTCTTAGATTTTCTGCTTCGAGGGGAAGCTTTAGAAGACATTGATTGGCAGAGTCGCTTAAGCAGATGGCTGACTACGGGTCCTCCAGGGTATATATATTTGTTTACAGATATTCAAGCTCATCCCATCATGTGCACAAGCAGGGCAAAACAAGGGTGTGCTACTGCTGCAGAACTTTTGCTGCTGCAGAAGTGTTGCTGCTAGACTCGGACAGCTGCATGAGTCTCTGTAAAAGTGTTACTGCTGCGCAAGCCCTTGAACACGGTGTTGAAGAGTTGCTGCAGAACCATTTCTGCTACTGCAGGCACTACTGCTGTTGCAGACGCTGAAAACTTCTGCTGTTGCACAAGCTGGGGCGGAACTGTTGCAGATCTGCAGAACTGCTGCAGAACTGTTGGAGTTGCAGGACTGTTGATGCTGCAGAACGCTCACTGCTGCATAACTGCTGCATAACTGCTGTACAACTGCTGCAGACTTCCTACTGCTGAACTCTTCATGCTGCAGAATCGCTACAGGACTGCTGCAGGACTGCTATACGACAGCTGCAGACTTCCTGCTGCTGAATTCGTCATGCCGCAAAATCGCTACAGGACTGCTGCAGAACTGCTGCAGACTTCCTGCTGCTGAATCCCTGTTGCTGCAGAACTGCTGCCCGTACAGCGGGTACCGCCGCTGCCGCAGCAGTAGGCGCACCAAAAAAGTGCAGAGCGACAAAGGCCCCCAAATGGAAAACATATCCTGAATCGTTGACGAGCAGCGCGTAGAGGCTGGTTAAAGAAGACGCCGTTGGTTCCAGGGGTGGTGTTTGAAAGCACCCCTGATTTGCATGCACATGTTTGGTTGTTGCTGCTTTCGTGGTTGCTGAGACAGCGTGAAGCCGATCCCATAAAGAAGAGGCCTCAAGGATTGTGCCACCTGGACACAGGCTACCTCTGCCACTCAAGGCAGCTTCTTGGGAAGCCGGGCAGAGAGCGAGGTCCTCGATGGGCAATCCGTGGAGCCTTTCGAATGCGGCTGCGGAGTCTCTTACCCGCGGCTGGTGCGGCAGCAGCATCTCGAAAGCGAGAGGTGAGAAGTGACGACACCGGGGAGCAAAGCAGCACGCGGCTGCCCTTCTTGGAGAGGCGTTTTGGCGTTGGCCTTCGCGTTTGCGTTGCGGCATTACTGTGCCGCTGCCTGGGAAACTCCGCGCAGATTTGCAGCTAAGCAAGCCAGACCCAAGCCTCCAGCCTGCGCCAGACGGTGGTTGTTGCAGCCGTGTGCGAGAGGCTGGCTAGAAGCGCACAGGAAGGCTGGAGGGTTTGCCCCCGAGGGTGGTCTGCAAGTGCTTGCCGAGCGGAGGCCCTCGAAATCCCGCGAGGTGTACATACGGCTGGCTGCAGCGTTGGGAAGGAAGCCATGAGGGGTCGGCGAGGCGGCGACCAGGAGGGGATTCGGAGAACTTTGAGCGCATGGATTCCAGCTGTCGCGACGCGCAGGTTGCTGCAGGCGGTGCTGCAGAGACGGGCAGGCTCGGCTCGCCGTCAGAAATTCTCTGGCGAAGTCGCCTCCTCCTGCCTTCGCAGTGCTCTCTGTTGGCGGATGCGCAGACGACTGCAGACCTCCCCAGAGACAGGAGGGAAAAAAGGGGGGAGCTGCGGGATTGAGGGCAGGAGCGGGGGGCCTTAGCGGCGCGCATGCGGGCAGGCGGCTCGAGTGTGCTGCTTCTCTCCACTGCTGCTGCTGCCGCAGCAGCTGCGGCTGCCAGTGCCGCGCCTGAGGCGATGAGGCCCACGACTTGTAGGCCCAGAGAGGAGGCCCCTTTGCAGGGGTGGTGGCGGTTGCTGCCGTTGCTGCTGTTGCAAGGTGGCTGCATGCGGCTGGCATGCGGGCTGCTGCCTCCCTGCAGATCAGACTCGAGGAATGCGCTACCACTGCAGGCCACAACTGACCTCCTCCTGATTGGGGCTGGTACACTGCCATCAAGGGTTGGTGGTGCTGCATGTGCTGCTGCAGGTGCTCGCGCTGCAGCGGCGTGATGCGCGGCTTGTGGGGGGGGTGACACTTCTGTTGGTGCTGCCTCAGCAGCATGAAGGCGAGTTCGTTCGCCTGGTGCTGGGTGACGCGCCGCTGCTGCTCCTCGTGCTCTTTGTGCTGCGTGCGCTGCTCGACGACGGGCTGGCCCTTCAGGCGCCCTACGCGTGCTTCCGCCTGGTTGGGCATCAGCTGCATCTGCAGCTGCCGCAGCAGCTGCTCCTGCAAGGCCAGCTGCAGCTCCTGCTGCCTCTGCAGCCCTCCGACTTCTGGAATCTGCGGCAGGTGCTGCTGCCTAGCTGCAAACATTTCGATCTGCTGCCTCGTGTGACTCTCTGGAGGGGCCACATCTGCTGTCGCTTCACACGAGGACGTCCACGCCGGAACCGAGCGGCCCATGCAGGAGGAGGGGGAGACGCGGAGGGAGAGGAAACTGCTGCTGCACCTGCTGCCTCTGCTGTAGTTGTTTGTGCTGCTGTTGCTCGGCAGAGATTTCTCTGGAGTCGTCAGGAGCGAGGTTACGCCAGTGGTCTCAGCGGCTGCTCTAGCGCGGCTCTTCGGCTGGTAGTAGTGCTGCTCCGGGCTAAGGACGAGCGTGCTCAGCCGCTGTTGCTCCTCCGCAGACAGGGAACCTGGGAGCCACTTCTGCGGCTGCTGCAGCCGCAGCTTCTGCAGCTCCACGTGCAACTCCAGCTGCGCAGCCACTGCCTCCGCTTGCGCTGCCGCTCGTGCAGCTGCACGGCGGGCTCGCCTCCGCCTTCTGGAGCTGCGGACACTCCCATCTGGAAGTACTCTGATTTCTGGAGGCATCGATTCCATGCCTGCTGTTGGCAGGATACCGGGTGTCTTCCCCGCTGTGTTTGCTGCTTCTGGCGAGGCTGCCCTTCTTGCTGTGGCACGTGCTTCCCCGCCAGCCTGCTTTTTCGCGGCACCAAATTTTGTTGGCTCGAGTTTCTTCTCGCCCGCCCTCCGCAAAGTCTGTCCTTGGGCGTCCGCTGTTACCGGCGTTTCTGGTGAGGCGGATGCTGAATGGAGTCTCACGCCGACCGCTGCTCGTGTGACTGCCGCCGGAACCGCCGGTAAGCCTCGAAATACCACGCAAGTCTCGTCACCTCGCGGGGAAAGTGCTGGCCTCGGGCGCAGTTCCTCGACGCCGTGAGCGAATCTGAAGGGAGGCGCATGGGAAGACGCACAGGGGCGGTTGTTTTTCTTTCGTGGGTTGTGCGTTTTTGCCGCGCCAGGGGTCGCAGGGAGGGCAGCTGCAGCTGCTGAATTGGGCTCGGTGTGCCTGCGGTGGCGCACGCAGCACTCCCTGCCGGCAGTCTGCGGTCTGCGCGTACCTGCACTTGTCCTGATTGAGGCAGAGGGAGGGATCTTTGGACCAGAAAGCACAGATTGCCGTCTTGAGAGTTTGGCTGTCTTCGGCGACCTGCAGTTCGTCTGGCCCATGAGCGTATCCGCAGTTCGGCCGGCTACAAGTGCCGCCCTGTACGAGCAAGGGGCACCACTTGGTCCTTTCCAGCGTGGGCGGCTTTCTGAGCTCTGCCTGAGGAGCCAGAAGCACCAACGGCATGAAAGACACGCAAAGACAAGGGGCTATCAGGACGCGCTCGCAACGAAGCCAAGGGTCGCGGCTTGTGTGGGGAGCTCGGCGACGGGCAGCACGCGCTAAGTAGAGCAGAGCTCGGCTGGATGGGCGCATTCTGGCGCTGATTTCGCTCACTTCGCAGTGGGCGTAGCCGCAATCAAGGCCCTGGGAGCAGCGTCCAGGGCGCCCCCCCCCCATAAATGGACAGAGTTGGGTCCTGTAAAACTTTGTAGTCCGCAAATCTGTGCCGTGGACGGGCTTGCCTCCCGCCGCAAGTTGTTGGAGCCGGCGGGAAGGAGGCAGCAGGTCGCCTGCCGGCCTGACATTCTGCAGAGGGAGGAAGGTCGGCATCCTAAGTGCTAAAAATCAGGGATGCATGTAATGGGTGTTCGGGATTGGTGGAAGGACCTGAAAGCCGCTCAAAGGTCCGTGGGATTACCGCCCAACTATAAGTTGGGATGAGAAACTGAGACTTGTGTTCTGGAGAAGGAACCGGCTGGGAAGCTGTGAGGCCGCTTCCCTGTGAATCAAATGGCTACGTGCTTCTTGAAGCCAAAATAGAGGGTTGCCCTCCACTAATCATACGGCCCAGGGTGCCCATAAACAGCGTTGCTTGGGGACTGGCCGCTGTGTGAGGCTTAAAGCGCAAGCCAGCACCTCTTGTAAATCCACAAGCGGGAAAGGTACGAACTGACTTCACCCCACGCGCAAGAGTGGATGAGCAGCAACGCCGCACATCCTGTATGTGGCTAAGTCACTGCCAAACGAAACCTGCTGCGAATAAAACGAAGGCACAAACACTTTGGTAGCATTTGAACTTTGATAAAACGCAAAGTATTTTCTTTGCGGGCTGAATGGTGTATCAGCGCACAACGGACCCGCAGCAGACATATGGGGCCACTCTGTCGGGTACGGCTAGAAGGGCGCAAGCAGCTACCAATTCAACACATTGGCCTTTCTGCGTGAAATTTTTATCTAGGTACGTTCATTATGTTTAATCATGGACCGAACACCCATAAAGCCTGCATGTTGGAGAGGTTTCGGCCCCTTTTCAAAGGGGCGACGCGCGGCGACCGCGAGGGCTCGGACTCAAAGAGTTGATTTCACCACGTGGATTAACTTTCTAATTAAGAGATATTAAATTGAAAAATGCTTTATTAAACGCAGCTCTACTCTAATTTGAGCTTCAAACATTGTTTTCGACAGACATTTCGGGATACCATCCCCCTGAAAGAGAATAGGCTGTGCATGCAGCACCTTAGCCAATAGAGATGTTCTTTTGGTGCTAGTAACTGCTATTAAGACGAAATACAGTCTGCATAACCAAGACCTACACTTTGACAATGGTGCCAATTCACTTGAGCTAATATCGAGGCAGAGCGAGACCGTATTCTACAAGCAGGCGTCTAAAAGAAGTGTATTTCAGTACCGCTCGAAATACCTATTCCCAATGCGTATCTTCATTCATCATGTCAATACATATTCGGGCTTGGCGCTCACGCGCACATTGCGGCGGATGGACAATGTTTTAAATCGTCTCTTCGGCACTGCTAAAGGGATAGAAGAAAGCGAAAGTATTGCAGCTGAAGAGGAGCACGATGAGAAACGAGTGCCTGTCCCCTCGTGCATTAGGCGGTTAGTGTCTAAGAGGAATCCCCAGCAGCTACTACAGAACCTCCTCACGTGCAGTCTGGCTGTGTTCGACCTGCACAATACAGACCCCGACGAAGTCGAATTCATATTCAAAAAGCTCAGAGCGGCACAGATAGAGCATCCTCTGACCGTCATTTTAATTTCGTCTCTTCTAACGTGGGGCAATACTCGACGGCAGTATCAATCAGATTCCCCAAAACTTGGTGAATCCTATGACGGGGAAGTTGTCGAGGAGAGTCCCACAGATGCACAGAGGAACAGTTCCCACGCAGATTCCAAAAGCCCTGTTGAAGCAGAGCGTGACACAAACTCATCTTTCACAGTGTTAAATGCCGATGAAAACTCTGGAAACAATCAGAGAAAGTTGAAACCTAGGATCTTCTCAGGGGATAATTTTGAGCTGCGCGTGCCTCCTAAGGCGTACGAGCGCTGGAAAATGGTGGAAACTCTGCTAATGTCCCTTAACTCAAAAGAAAATTTTAGAGGAATCGTCATTTCCTGTGGAATGATGTATGGATACGGAGAAGAAACGCTGTATGATCCATTCAGAGCTGCGTGGCTTGGGCTACAAACCCACAAAGTTATTGGTGCGTACAAGAAAGATAATGGTTTAGGCCTAAAGCTTCACATGTTGGTTTCCAGGACAAAATGTCAGCTTTCAAGTAAAATGATGTTATTATCGCACGTGTGCATAAGAAACAATGTGTATTGCGGTACATCTTGCATGCATATTCCCCATGAATCCAAAAAAATAGATCAATAAAATCAGCAGTGTACAAATGTCTAAGCTGCTTATCTGTTGCTTTCAGGCAGTGGAAACAATTTTATTCCATCCGTTCACGTACAGGATGTGTGTACTCTTGCAAAGACTTTGGCTTTAGATGCTTCTAAGGGACTAGGCGTTTACCACATAGCTGTAGACAAAGCCTTTGTAACTCAAAAAGAAATCCTTGAAGCCATAGTAGCCGAGCTTGGAACTCCTTTCAAAATCCCTGATATAACTGAAGAGGAAGCTGCTCTGCTGGAAAATACGGATATACTCTTACAAGATCTCCGTTTCGAGTGTTCACCCCTGATGGCCGCTGACAGCTTCCCTTGGCACGCACGCGATGGATTTGTCCGCTCAATTAAACAAGTGGCTGCTGAGTTCTGCACATGCAGGGGGCTCAGGCAACTGAAGATCCTCGTAACAGGTAACGGGCTCAACAAGCCCAATTGAAAGGCCCAAAAGTTAAAGGAAATCGTAGCCTTAACCGCGCCGTGGTGCTTCTCGGTTTCGCTGTAAAACGGCATGCTCCAAGCATATGCATTACTCAGAATTCCATCTTTGACTATCAGGGCCCCCGGGAAGCGGCAAGACTTCCATGAGCCAGCGGATAGCTGAGTATTACAATATCTGCCTCGTGAAGACAGCCGAAGTTGTTGAGGCAGCACGAGTGGGAGATGCAAATTTGCAGAACAGCCGGCAAGGAACGTCAGTGCCTGCTGAAGAGACTAAGAAAAAAGGAAAGCGAGTCGTTTCTCGAAGACCCAGATATGATGCAGAGACGATGGCGAAAATATTTCAAGCAAAGCTTTCACAGAATATTTGCAGGTACAGAGGATTTGTTCTGGATGGCTACCCAAAGTGCTATGATGAGTGCAAAGCTCTGTTTCTAAAGTCCAGCCCTCCAACAGAAGCATCTAAGTCTGATGAATCTGGAGAGGAAGAGGTGGATGACACAGCTCATGACGCTCTTGAACGTGTTGCAAAACCTGAATACGATACTTCAGTGGCCCCAGATTTTGTTATCTCTCTCGGTGCTTCAATAGAGACGTGCGAGAAACGACTCATGAACTTACCCCCTTCCGCTGTCGTTGCAACGCATAATGATCGAGAGGGATATCGCAGAAGGCTACAGCTCTATCAGCAACAGAACGAGTCATTAGAAGGACGGCCAAAAGTAACAGATTTTTTTCAGGTACAAGGTGTTTTTAGGCGGAAAAATTGTTGAAAGATGCCTTCGATTGCTCTATTCAGATGTTGTCCATGCGCACCTTGTGCTTTGGGTTGCTGAATATTACTTCATAGCCTCCGTAGACTTCCTAAACATTCTAGGATTGCGTACTGGTAATGTCTGTGTCGCGCAACGTAGGAACGTGGCGTTGAGATCATGACACTACCGACTGATGGAAAAGATATCGATGACCTGTTCAGCTCAACTGTGATATATATCGCTCGCTTCGGCCAAATTCGGAACTTCCTTTTAGAACCCAGCGATTGGCTGAAACAGCAAGAGCAGGCGCTGATGGAAAAGGAAGCTAACGAAGAGCAACGCCGACAGGATCAAGAGAGGCTTGAGAAACAAGAAGAAGAACAACGGCTTGAAAAACAGAGAGAACGGGATATTGCAAGACTCCGCCGGATAGCGGAGCACGAGCAGCAACTGCTGTTGATACGCAGTATTCCCCTTCGACGTTATCTTATGCAACACATAATACCTACCCTCTCAGAAGGGCTATTAGAAGTGTGTCGGGTACTGCCAGAGGATCCAGTGAGCTACCTAGCAGAATTTTTGTTTGCAAGGGCCAGACAAATGGAGTAACAGAGACCTCGCTGGTAGCATAAGCACAGCCCTCGATCGCTAGGCCTTCGGTATACGCGTCAGACCTTACAGGATTTTTCATCAGCATGCCTACTAAAGTAAAATGCTTTTCAAAAAGATGTAAATCTATAGAAACTCTGCAGCTGCTTTACTTAACTCCCTTTTCTGTCCATGCTCCGAAGCTTGGCGTATGACGTAGGAAGAGCAATATCAGAGCCATGTTGGTTTGGAGGTCCCAGTACTGTCCATACTCAGCTTAGTCAATCAAATATTCTGAAAGTAAAGTAGTTATTGCTCCCAGGTTTGAGTGAGGGGTGCTACAGAACCTTCGCTCCGAGCCAGTGGCTCAGGTGACCTGGGCCAGTGGCTCCGTGTGACTCTGTTGAGAGCTGACCAGGGATTGGAGAGGCTTGGGGGGTTTAAATTAACAATACTTGAAGGCAAGCCTCAAGTATGTCATTATTACAATTAAAAATATGAAGTTCAGATGCACGGATCCACAAGGCAACTCTACTCTTGGGGGCTGCAGCGGCATCCGCGCGCACGGTTCCAGGTCACCTGTACGACTGTCAGAGCTGCCAAGGTCTCTGCCAACTTAATCACTTGATTGTCGTCCACTTTTAAATGAATTCATGCTTTCAGATCCTTTTGAAAACAATTTCGATATGTACTCCTCGTGGGTGCGGCAAAATTTTTTGCAAGCTTGCGCCAGAAATCCGTATAAACAACTGTAGAGCGGATCTGTTGGTTTGAAACATAGCTCGTCGGCTGCTCGACCCATCGAAGAAAAGATGAGCCCAAGCCTGCACATATATACTTAGCCCAAATTCATCGTCCCTTCGTTTGCGAAAATGGTACAAACATTCCTTCCTCAGTCCACAGACTGCCAGGAGCTTAGCCCACGCTTGCAGGCAGAAGCGTCTCTAATAGAGAAAATAAATTCATTGAAACAACAAAACGAAAAAAGAAGACTTGAGGCAGAAAAGCTCAAGGTGAGTGGGAAAGACCGAGTTACATCTACATCATACCTCACTACTTCATGCATTTACAGAAAAGTTCCTTTGTAGAAGTATGCATGTAGCAAGGCGCCGTTCATTTTTGTTATCGGCAGCATAGTCTGTGGAGCACACCCACAGTAATTCAACCTAAAAAAACGTGACACGCTGAAGCGGATCTGCTGTGCCACGGTCTTTTCAAGATCCAATGGTGGAACTACTTTATCTTTCAAAATGCTCATCGCAACCGGTGGTGACCTTAAGACTCACGAGTGCTCCACGAATTGGCCGAAGTGGGCTATTTATCTTGGTGATTTTAGGATGCCCATTCGCCATAACCCAAGTACTGCTAATACTAGACAGCACCTAAAAGGACGATAGGTTTTCTGCTCGAAGATACATAGTCGTGCAAGATACAACAAGCTACTTTTCCCCCTGTTCTATATGCCCGATCCGCTAAGGGTTGACTACAGGAGTTACACTTGGTTGCGATTTAGTTGCATAGAATTGTATTAGCATATTCGATGGAATTACGAAGTAGGGTCTGAATGTGCAACTGCAAATTCGAGTGTGATTTTTCTCCTGTGAGTGCTGATAAGACCTTAGCAAGATTTTAGGGCGTGTTATTCCGGCTATCAAGCCAAATGCGCCATATTTGGAGAAGCAGAGCGTCTAGCCGGTTATGCCCTCCATAATGTTAGTGAATATCGTTTGTACCTGAATTTAATTTGGCGTCATTGAGCACACTATATGCAACGTGCAATTGCGTATTTTATTACAATTTAGATTCAGCTCTGCGGCGCAGCAACGGGCACATCTAGTGTCCCTCGAGACCCACGTTTTGCAAAAGGTTCTCTTGTCGATACTGCAAGAGAAACGGCCCTGCGGAGATCAGCCGCATAAGCAACACGGGCAAGGTGATTCCGGACTACCCCATTCCAGGCTGGGAGAACGGTGTTCCGTGGTGGCAACCACTGGCCTTTCGCTGGAGAGAAGGCACAACATGGTTGCGTCGGCTGTTGCAGCCTCAGCAGCCGAAATAGCTAACATAAAGGCAGAACTATCAAGGGCTAAGAGACTACTGAAGGTCAGAAAAGACAATACAGTCACAACTTTTTCAACTCGCTAGTAGCTGCTCTATCCGGTTATTAAATTGAGGCAAAGGTCACGAGATAGCTACTGACTTGTAATGGAAGGGTGAAGCTACACGTAAATCAGGCAGAGCAATGAGGGATCTCATTGGGATGACTCTCGGATGAGACTTTGCTTGTATAAACCAGTTCTACTCGTATCTGATTTTTGTGGCCTTTAATGCGAAAAAGGGCATCTTTGTGTACCGCCTACTGTGCTCGTGGGGCCTTTAGGAGACGCTGAAAAGCGGAGACCTGCAAGCTGCAGAGGTATATCACATACCCACAGCGGAGAGATGCAGCTTTTAGAATGGTGTCTGTACTCCACAAGGGCGTGTAGGTCAATTTTTGAACTGGCGGTGTAGTGCTCCAGTGTCCGTGGAGCCCATTATATAAGCTCTTGCTATGATGCTTTTAAAGGCGAATACGGACTTTAAAAGAAGTGTTCTACCGCGGGGTTTCTTCAGGTGCGGCGCGATGCCCTTGAATTTCGGCGGGACGTTATTGTAGGGGCAGAAGACCCTCTGTCAGGCCTCACATTGGGCGAGGCGCTTCTGAGGTGGCTGGAGATGCGCATTAGAAAGCGAGATGCTCAAGAAGAAAAGCTCAAGGCGAAGTTACGGGCAGCGAAACAAAGTGCTCTCAAACAGGCTGCAGCAGCCAAACGGCCCGGATCTGGCGCAAATGACCTCCAGTACATTGACATGCATCAATTAGAAATAGAAAACGAGCAATTCGCAGGAAAGGTTGAGGCGTCAAAGACAGATGTTGCGATAAAAAAGAGGAAATGTGGTATTACATTATGCAATTCCCCAAGCACACTGCCACGGCATTATAACAACAACCCGAGCAAAGCCTCCAGGCATTCACAAAGCAGGCAATAGATACAGGAACATCATGGTCCAGCGCTTTTGGAGCTGCTTTACACAAGCCTTAAGCACATTCTCACTCTCTCGCAGACCTGTACGGCAGAGTGCTGGAGTCACGAGCTTCAGTGCTTTATCTACTAATAATGCTTTGATATCGTTTGCGCAAGCGCGCAAGGCAACAGCGTGCAAGTTTGCTCAACGAAGCGTAGTGCTGTGGCTTTTCATAATATTTCACCGTTTCACAAGTGATGCGCAGAAAGCTCAAGGCCCAGCTAATCCTATATGCGGCATTTTCTTCCAACAGTAGGTACTCTATGCTGCAATATTTTGCTTGCTGTAATGTGGCCTTGTTGTGGGGTTGGACCTGCCGCAGCAAGTATCCTCCAGGCTCAGACTGTGCTCAAGGAACAGCTCGCGCGGAGCTTGGCAGAAGGTGCCAATCTCGCAGCTGGTCTCACCAGCCGACGCGCTGCGCTGGAGCGCACGAAACGCGAAGCGGAACAGATTTCCAAGGAAACAGACGCAGTAAAAAATGAAAACAAAAGGTAGACAGCTGCCTCCGGTATAAGGCATTGTATTCGTTCTAGGTCAAACAGGCCATTTGCGGATCTGTTTCTCCTTCACATTCAAACTGAGTTTGAAACACATGAGGCAATACCTCTATAATGGGTAGCAAACATAAAAGCTGGCAGCCTTAGTATTTCTCTGCCTTATGCATATTTATCTACCTGAGTACATTGGTTCCAGCATGCTCATGTATTGCACAGCTGCTGGTACTGTTGGTGATGCTCTTCGTGTCCAAGTGGTTCCTCAGGCTGCTCGTGCAATCCCGCAATAGCAATCACATCCCTCAAGTAATGGACCTCGTGCGGCAGAAGGCCGCATTGCTGGAGAAGTCGCGGCAGCTACAGTCCTGGAGGCGCAAAGTTGAGGTGGTTGAGCTGGAGGCGCGCACAGTTCGTGAAGACCTAAAGATTCAGGCTTCTCGCCGAGCGGCGGCTGGTGGCATTTCTTCATAGCAGTGCTCACATGAAAGATGAGCGTACCATTGTTGCTTTAAATACGTCTAGGTCCCTCCTCCTCTAAATATAGTGTCTCTCTAGTGCTTTTCGTCAGAATGTAGCTGGATTCAATGAAAGACGAAGCTCGAGGGCGGCGTCGACCAGAAAAGTGTGAAGAGCAGCAGCTATGTTTCGGAAGACCAAGAGAACATTAATCGAAACATCCAGCTTAACAAGGACTTGCAGCATAGACTTTAGAGAAGAGGACAAAAAACTAAGTGCAGTAGCTACGATGAGGACTGTCAAAGTAGAATCTGCGAAACTTGTATCCAAAAAGCAGCATCTACTCGGCAAATGAATTCTCCTGTCGACGTCTAGATAGGCTGTTGATTGCGCACTGTTTTTCCACTGTATCTGGGCGTCAGTGAGCATATACACTTGACACAGCAGCATATGAATACACCGAAAGTGATAATTTACAGCTAGTGGTACAGCGTTGTAGTTGAGCAGCAGATAGGATCAGTGGTGAATGCGTTTAGGGCCAAGGAGATATTCGTTCATGTTCCTAATAGCGTTCTGTCCAGTATGCGGTTACATCCCACTCCCTTCAGCACTACTTCCTCAGGTGGGAACGCTGGAATAGAAATAGCGAAAAGAGCTGTAGCTAGTAGGACTGAGGCCCTGTATGCTGTAATTTCATGACACACAACTGATTAACCCTATGCCCTAGTACAGTGGGGGCCCTCGTATTCCCTTTTAAAAGCCATTTACGTTCTCTTAGGAGTCCCAAGGCACCGGAGCATCTAGATGAGCAGGCACTCGGGCTCTTTGGGAACGCGTTTTCTGAGACAGTGTCGGCCCCCAAAGGCATCGAAACCGGGAAATTCACGTGCTTTAGACACCTCGACAGTGTCAGTAGCTCTATTCAACCTTTTCTTTTCCTTCAGCTAAAGATCTGATGGGGAATTAAGGCTACAAGCCACGGAAAGAGCGGTGGCGAATGCCAGGGCTTTCCACTGCATGCGCTGGGTTCTGGCCGTGCGGTCCTCGCCGAGGTGATTTCTGAACCAGCAGAGCCCCTGCTGGACTGGAAGGTTCATTTCATGATTTCTGTTCATTTCTCACACAAACAGTGTGGACGGTGACACAAGCGTGGCGCAGCCTAGGGAAGCTACAGTCTGTGCGAGCATCGATGGTCCGATGCGTGGTGTCGCGCCTTTCCTAGACTTCCATAACGGCAGTTGGTGCCAATGAACTGCGTTGCTGTATTTAATTGCGAGCTTTCCAACAACCCACAGAAGAGAGAGCGTGCCCTCGACACTATGCAGTTTGATAGTGGGCGCTGCAGCAGAGCCTTCAGGTCCTCGCTGCAAGGGGAGGCCTCCGCAGGTCCGTTGATCGATCTTTGACCTCTCTTTGGTGTACCTACACGCTGTTGAGTGCCGATTTGTCAGGAGCAGCGATGAATATGAGGGGGCAGGTACGCCGTCCGGGGTGCTCCTCCAAGCAGGAGGCCTCCTCGTATGTGGGTGCCCCCGCGCAATCCAAGTGGCCAGCATTTGGCCCTAACATACCCAGGAAGGAGGAGGAAACGCCTGTCCTCTTTAAGCCCGAGAAGGTGTCATCTGAAGGCGCTTGCTGCGGGGGAGCAAGCCTTGGTAACGGCGACTGCAAGGACCGCCTTTCAGCTCCTGCTTCCTTGGTGGCGACACCCCCCGCAGCGGATTTTGAATCGCAGGCCGCGGCGGGGGGGAGCAAGGGCAGGGGATCCGATGCTGGAAAAAAGAAAGCGTCCGTCAGTTTCAGCGACCAACTGCCCACCTGCGCGGGGGGCACCTCCCAGCACTCGCCTGCCTATTGCATGGGCAAGCGTGTGGAGGCTTTGCCCGACAAATGGCGCTTGCTGCCCGCTTTTTTTGAGAGCCGTGGACTCGTGTCTCAGCACTTGGCATCGTACAATCATTTGATAACCCACGAACTGCGGGCTATCGTGCGGGCTGCAGCGAACCGTCTCATCAAGTCGGACGTGGACCCTGCCTTCTTCTTAGAGTTCCTGGATATTCAAGTTGGAGATGCGCGCTTGGAGGAAAGCATGCAGCAGTTCAAGCTCACTCCGAAGGTGTGCAGAGTGCGCGAGCTGAGTTACTCTGCGCCCTTGCTGGCTGAGGTAGAATACAGCCGCGGCCACGAGATCGTGAGACGGCGGGGTGTCTGCATCGGCTACATCCCTGTCATGGTGAGAAGCAAGGTGTGCGCGCTCTACGGGAAGACGCAAGCGCAGATTCAACAGCTCGGGGAGTGCCCGCTTGACCCCGGCGGGTATTTTATTGTGAAAGGGACAGAAAAGGTAAGGCGCACAGAGTGGCGTGTGTTGTTGGTGGACGCCTCCGGTGGTTCACTTTTCGCTGCCTGCCAGAACTGCAGGAAGGGGCTGTGCAAGAGATTTCATCCATGCCTTGCCGTTCATGCTGTACAGATGGCTTTGCAGCGGGGAAAGGGTCCGCTTTGATTTGGAAAAGGCATGTTCGGGCTTGTTCGCGCCTACTTTCCGAGACTCCGGCGATTTCGTTCAGGGATCGCGTCCTCAGGTGTTAGCTTGTTCGCATTCCTTGAGCTTGCGTGCTGTTGCTGCTTTCAGGTGCTGCTAATGCAGGAGCAGCTCTCAAAGAACCGCATCATCGTGGAGGTATGTTCTTTTCGCCGGACCGCTTGGGTAGATGTTGGCACGCTTTGGGGAAGGCCTTGCATGCCGCGTGTTTGAGCGGGGTTTCGGCTGGTTTGCGGAGTCAAGTAGTTTGAGCAGTGTGTCTCACTGCTGCATCCTGTGTGTGTGTGTGTTTGTGTACAGCTCGACATGAAGCGCAACGTTTGTGCCACTGTAACGTCGGCAACAGCCGAGGCGAAGAGCCGTACCTCCGTTGTGCTAAAGGGCAGGCGTTTGTTTCTTCGGCATAACTCCTTTATGGACGATCTTCCTTTGTGCATTTTACTGCGGGCCATGGGAGTAGAAAGCGACCAGGAGATCACACAGATGATTGGGGAGGCTGCCTGTGGCTCGGACGGGCAGGGTGATGGCGCTCACGAAGCCCTCTCTCTTTCCCTTCAGGACTGTCACACGGAGGGAGTGTTGACGCAGCAGCAAGCGTTGCTGTGGGTAGGCACGCGGTTACGGCCGCGCATGTATGGCAGGGGCTTCTTTGCGCCAGCGAAGGAGCGGGAAACGCGCACCGCGAAGAGCGCAGTAGACGAAGCAGTCGACACACTGCATCGCGTGCTTTTGGCGCACATTCACAGTGCAGGCAGCGACTTTCGTCCCAAGGCGAGGTTTCTGAGTCTCATGGCAAAGCGGTGTCTGCAGGCGGCCAGCGATCCGCGGCTGCTGGATGACAAGGACTATTACGGAAACAAGCGGCTCGAGCTAGCGGGACAAATGTTGGGGCTGTTGTTTGAGGATTTGTTCAAGCGTTTCTGCAGCCAAACGAAGAAGCAGGCGGATTACGCGCTCACACGATACCACCAGACGCGCGCCACTACGCGCCAGAAAGAAGCGCTGCAGTACCCAGACTGTTTCCGCAACCTCCCGACGGATATTATTACGCGCGGCCTGCAAACTGCCCTTTCCACAGGCACCTGGTCTATCAAGCGGTTCAGAATGGAGCGCTCGGGAGTCTCGCAGATCCTTTCCCGACTCTCTTACATCGCCACTCTGGGAATGATGGGCCGTCTGAACTCCCAGTTCGAAAAGGGGCGAAAAGTCTCCGGTCCGCGTGCGCTGCAGCCCTCTCAGTGGGGTGTGCTGTGTCCATGCGATACTCCGGAAGGGGAGAGCTGCGGCCTCGTTAAGAACCTGGCCCTGCTGACGCATGTCACGACGGATGAAGATGAGGCACCCGTGGCGAGGGCTATCTTTGCTCTCGGAGTGGAAGACGCTCAGGCAGTCAGCGGGGAGGAGCTGCACGAGCCTGCCGTCTTCTTGGTGTTCCTCAACGGCTGTCTCCTCGGCGTGCATCGACGGCCTTCGGAGCTGCTGTCTGCGGTGCGCCTGCTGCGGCGCAGAGGCCTTCTGGGCCCCTTCGTGTCGATACACCTGAACGCAGCTCACCAGTCCATTTACATTGCGACTGACGGAGGCCGCCTCTCGCGGCCGCTCATCGTCGTAGAAAACGGCCGTCCGCTGCTGGAACGCCACCACTTGGAGCAGCTGGAGCGCGGGGAGCTCGTTTTCGGGGACCTGCTGAATGCAAGTGTGCTTGAGTGGGTCGATGTGAACGAGGAGAACAACCTTCTGATTGCGCTGTCCGAAGAAAGAATCGAAGCAGCCACAACGCACCTCGAGATCGACCCCTTGGCCCTTCTAGGAGTTGTCGCCGGCCTCATTGCCTTCCCGAACCACAACCAGAGCCCTCGAAACACATACCAGTGCGCCATGGGCAAGCAAGCCATGGGCGCGATTGCGTTCAACCAGTTCGCCAGATGTGACACGCTCCTCTATCTGCTCGTCTACCCGCAGCAGCCGCTTTGCAAGTCCCGAACGCTGGACCTCGTGCATTTTAATCAGCTTCCAGCAGGTAAGCAGAAGATGTCTCCAAGGGCGGCTGAGAAATTCGCAGGGCGCTTTCGCATGCAGTTGCCAGTCCAGTCTCCTTAGGCAGGGCCACACGGCACAGGGCCCCTAGCAGCAGCAACAGCACGGGTGGCAGGGGCTTTTTGCGCGAGTGGCGCCACTGTTTGTGGATTTGTCAGTGTGTGGACGCTTCACATGGGTCCAGTAGGACTTCGCCGGGTTCTGCCCAGTCGAGCCAGCGTGCAGCGCGCTCCTGAATCCGTTAGTCGTGCATTTATGGAGTCCGTGTCGCTTCTGCCCCTAATGCGCATGCATGCATGCAGAGCGTGGCTGCGTGTGCTCTGTTTCAAACTCAGGCCAAAATGCAAGTGTGGCAGTCATGAGTTTCAGCGGGTATGACATTGAGGATGCGCTGGTTTTGAATCGGGGGGCCATAGATCGAGGCTTTGGGCGCTGCTTCGCCATTCGGAGGCAAAGTGTGGACTTCAAGCATTACTATAATGGTGCAGCGGACAGAGCCTTTCCGCCTCCGACAGCCGCAGAGACGGGGCGTTCAGACACGGGAGCGGGAGCTCGAGGGCGAGGCCGCGGTTTCCCCAACCGGAGGTTTGCAGCTATTGAAGATGACGGGCTGGCTGGCGTAGGGGAGCTGATAGAAGAGGACATGATCTTGGTGAATCGGTTTTCTCCTGTCAATACGAAAAGCCCCATATCGGACCCTCTCCGCCTGCAGCGGAGCGATTTCACGCCGTCTCCCGTTCGCTACAAGGCCCCCGTGCCTGCCTACGTGGACCGGGTGCTGCTAACAGAGAATGCCGAAGGAAGCCGTTTGGCCAAGTTCATGCTCAGACAGACGCGCTTGCCGGAGCTGGGGGACAAGTTTTCGTCGCGCCATGGTCAGAAAGGCGTTGTCGGTCTGATCGCGCCCCCCGAAGACTTTCCTTTCGCGGAGGACGGCTGGACTCCCGACCTAATCATGAATCCTCACGGGTTCCCCTCGCGGATGACTGTCGGCAAGCTGCTCGAGTTGCTTGCTGGGAAGACTGCGCTGCTTAGTGGAAAGCTGCAATACGGAACTGCGTTTGGAGGCGCCAAAGCGGCGGACCTTGCCAAAGCGCTCGTGGCAGGGGGGTTGCATTACTCTGGCAAGCAGTATCTAACATGCGGTATCACGGGAGCCCCCTTGAAGGCCTACGTCTTCTGTGGTCCGATCTACTACCAGAAACTCAAGCACATGGTGCAAGACAAGATTCACGCGCGCGGTAGAGGCCCCCGGCAGTTGCTGACACGGCAGCCGACGGAGGGCAGAGCCAAGGACGGAGGCTTGCGGCTAGGGGAGATGGAGCGCGACTGTCTAGTGGCCTACGGGGCCTCTTCCTTATTGCTAGAGCGCCTCGTTATTTCGAGCGATGCATTTGATGCCACGGTTTGCACCCGCTGCGGCCTCATCGGCGCTGGCGGCTGGTGCTCGATGTGCAAAAGTGCCGGCAACACTGCGACGGTCCAGATCCCCTATGCCTGTAAACTGCTCTTCCAAGAGCTCATGAGCATGAATGTATGCCCTCGAATTTCTCTCAAGGAGGCTTAACGTGGGTTTTCGCTTTGGGCCTGCTGTGCATAGGCCGTTTTTTCGAGACGCTTTGAAAAGCGGCTTTTTAGAGGGTCCTCGCGTACTTTTTTTCTCGTGGCTTCAAGCAGTGCGGCCGCATTTAAGCAGGCGGCTTTAAGCATCGCATTCTACCGGGAGAATCCTAGCACCTAAAGGGCTGAAGACCCCTCTTGCAGGCCGCACGTCACCTGCTCTCCCCCCCGGCCGAACTGCGCAGTAGGCATGCAGTCGTAGCCGCACCAGGCGAGGCGTGTATATAGCAGGCCCTTTGAGGGAAGGCAGGGGGCAGCTCGAGGCACTTGAGAGTTTGGCGTGTTGTGCGCCTTTGCATCGAACGCCCTTTGAGTGAGGCGATTGTGCTCCATAAGACAAGCGTGTCGGTCAGCCCGCGAAAGGCGGACCTAGCAGCAGGCATTACTGTGGAGGCTTCCATATATTCGTGTTGGTGATGCTCCTTATCCCGAAAGGAGGTCTGACCACAGCGTGGCTTGTGTGCAAAGGTGTGCCAGCCGTTCGCTTCGTCCTTCACTGAGGACGACGCCCTAGTTCCCCAGATGCGCGTTCAGTAGAGGCATAGAAAGACTATGAGGGCATGCCAAGATACATCTGCTACAGCCGGAGTGTCCGTCGTCCACTATGTGCTATCCTTTCTAAGGACGCTAAAACAGTGTTGCAAGATGAGGCTAGGGATCGCGCTGCCTTGCGCATCGTAGGGGGCGGCAGGGGAAGGGCGGAAGGGTCAAGCAAAGGTGCCACAGCGATCTTTCTTTATCCAGCCCACGTGAGGCGGCTTGAGGCGCGGCGGCCTCCCCTGCATGCACTTGGCGCTGCTGGAAGTGCCTTGACGCAAGCTTTGCATGCGCCCCCCAGCGGGGAGCAGCACGACGGCCTTTCCATCATTTAGGGGAGAAAACACCCTGACACAAGAGCCGCTGCATGCATCCTTGGACAAGCACCTTACGCGCACTGCTAGCGAGCGACTAAACCCTCTGCTTTCCCCGCCTGAGATCGAGACTCGCTGGGAGGACGCACCGTAAGCGGCTCAAGTATACTAGATAATGCCTGCGCATGCGCCAGTGCTCCGATAATAGCCGCCAACCAGACGTTAAATATCGATGGACAGGTCCAAACCTGCAGAAACCTCGCACACAGCACAAAGCAGCGCGTGTGCGGGCTACTACTGCAAGGAGGCAGCAGGCACTTTTGAGCAGTGAAAACATCCTCCCCGCACAGGCTGATAAGGATCCACGTGCATGCGCATGCGCCGTGAGGCATCGTCTCCTCTCTGGAGAGGCTAGAAATTCCCTTCACGCCTCCGAGGCTGGTTTCGAAGACATGGAGCAGTCCCTCCCCAGCAAGGCAACAAACTCACCGCGATACTTAGACCCGCCCTCCGCCTGTTTCTTTCTCTTCAGGTGCTGCAGAGTGTTGCGAAAGTTCTTCATCACATCATCTTCCTTGTCTAGACACAGGACCACACCCATAACGCAGACAGGGGAAGCACTCTCTCTGCCCACTGCACGCCGGCAGCGCGTGAACGTGTGCATGCCGATGGGCATACACCGCGCGCATCATGTGTATGAGGCCGGTGATCCAAGCCTCGCTACAAGACAAGCCAACGCCTCGCCACGCGAGAGGCCTCGGAAAGTCACATCAACGCATCCAAGCGAGGGGGGGGGCTGCATGCAGATCTCACTACGCCACGCGCGCAGAAGCGTGGCTGCAGCGGACGAGAAGCCGGAAATGCAGTTTTTAAGACTCTCCATATGTCAGCGCCACCCACGAACGCGCATGTTGCGAAAGGAAATTCATCAGACAGAGCCGTAGGGGAAAGGAAATACCCACCAGCTACACTGCACCACGCGACTACACACCCGTGCTCAACCTACCCAATTCTGCAAACCTGCAGTGCTCCGCGCAAAGCGCAACAAGGTTCTGAATGAATTCCACGGTAACCTGTTTCACAGACCGCATTCGTAATCCTCAGTTCAAAAACGCTGCACAATAAGGTCTGACCAACAAGTGTGCGCCAGTGACGAGGTCTAGCGAGGCGCTAGTGCAGGCCGATCCCCTCTCCCCTTATCACCCGGTGCACAGGGAAAAATAGCATTTGAGGGCATCTTGAAATTTCCCTTCACCTCTGGGTTGTTTTGGTCGAAGTAGTAAACATATTTGTCAAGAATCTCGATGAACAGGGAGACGTGGGAGGTGCTGGCTTGCACACATATGTCGGCGATCTTGAGGCACTTCTGAAGACACTCGAGCACCCGCCGGCTGTCTCTGTACTCGGGCTGCGCGACAATCCCCACACAAACACGCACGAACATGTATATACATGTATACATGCACATATATAGATATACATATACATATGTGTGCACCTACATACAACATACATACACAGACATACACACACGCCGACCTACCCACAACCTACACACACGCCGACCTACCCACAACCTACCCACAACCTACACACACACCTACACACAGCATACACCCAACAGAGTCCGTGGAGTCACCACAGAGCGGCATGCGGGCAGCGCTGTGTGTTGGAGGAAGGCGAAGCGGCCGAACACCTAGCCTGACGCGATCGGGGAATACAGCGAAGCAAGCGACTACGGCACTCCCACAAAGTAGCGCAGAAAGGAAACACAGCATCAGCGCGTGTTGGTTAGCGGCCTTGAGCACAAGAAAGGAGGCGGCCTGTCGCGAGACTTTGAAAAGCGTGAAAAAGCGCTTTGCTCACGGCGTTCCAGTACAAGTGCGAGCACGAGAGGACTGCTCTGCACTGATCGGGCTTTTTCAACAGCTTGGCACCGTGTTGAGTCAGCTTTGAGGCGATGGAGTCGTAGTTTTCTCGGTCCAAGCGTCTAACAAAGCCAGACAGACAGCCCACCATCTGCGAGACAAGGAACAGCACAACTCCTGCGCTTTCAGGAGGCTTGCTTCTCCCGTCTTGTCGACAGCTGAAAGGCCGTGTGTCTCGACACTCCGCCCACTCGAGTCTGCTGCAGCTCGCTGCCGCCTGCCTCGCCTGCCCCTCCCTCTGATTGCAGCCTTTCGGGGGAAGGGGAGTGCAGCGCGCAGCAAGCTCAGGAGACATCAGAAGCCTCCCAGACGCGCGCAGGGGGTATGGAGGTCATGCTGCATCAGCCTGCCGGTTGGCTGAAGTGTGACACGGAGGAGAGGGGGGAAGAGGGAAGGGGGGCCAAGAGGTTGCTGCTCTTCGGACGCACTTCCGTCAAGGCAGCGAATTGCCGCTTGCTCTCGGTGATCTCCTCCTCGAAGCAGACGAGGGCTTGACTCAAAAACTCGTGGCAAATCGCCTCGTAGCCTCCCACCATTTCGCATGCGTTGTCTGCCGCCATTGCAGCCATGAGCCACATGCGAAAGGCCATCTGCAGCAGCGGCAGACACGCATGCGCGCAGTCCTAATAAAATCGCGTGCCTCCTCGACAGGCCGACGCCACGCTTCCAGACAAAGCATTTCTTTGCCTCTTCTTCAAGGCTCCCACAACGCTCGCTGCGTCTCCCCCGCTTGGAGGCACGCGCGCCGTTCAAGGCATTTCGCGCAGACGACTGCTGATTTTTTTTCAGTCTCCAGTGCCGTCCCACACAGCGCCGCTGTCTCAGCGCTTAACTGCAGTTCCCCCGCCGAGAGGCCCTAATGGGCTCGCGGGAGAAAGGGGGAGGAGGGAGGAGATCTTTTAGTTGCACCACCGTTTGATGCAGAGTGCGCCTCCGCAACACGCAAGACTCTGCGAGCATGCAAGGGAGAAATAGACACCGCACCTCAGCGCTGATTTGCACTAGTTCCAGACACGTCGCGTGAAGAAACTGGCAAATCTTCTTGCCTCCATGGGCTGGCATCGTCACGTCCTCAATCCTCTGCTCCGCTTGTTGCTGCCTCTCCAAGACAGAGGGCAGCAGGCGGCATGCGGAAACAACCAGCGGAGGCAACAGCACGCGCAACTTCGAAGGCCCCCCTGCACCAGCAGCAGAGGGAGAGAGAAAAAACAGAGGCTCAAGAAGCCACCACTTCCACGATAGCTGCAAAATCGCCGGCTGTTTTCGCCTGCCCGCCACCAACAAAGCGCGCGGCAACAAGGTTCCCAGAGGAAAGAGAGGCGCATGCGCGCGAGGAGGGCTGCATGCGCAAGAAAGCAATACCTTCGGAAAACTTGCTCTTCGCAACAAGAAGCAGATTAAAGTAATCGTCCGTGTCGGGAGCGCGCGCGAGGTGCACGAGCATCGCCATTTGCTGCAGCTGTCGCTTCGCTGCCTCCGTTTCCTCTGGCTCCCCAGTTTCCTCTTCCAGCCGCTTTCCATTGAGCACCTCATCTCGAAGCAGCGGAGACACTAAGGTCAAAAACCGTCCCAGAGACTCCGCAGAAGACAGGGGCATGCCAGCCGTCACTACAGCCGACACCATGGTGCTCGCCACTGAGCAGAAGCACGATTGCAAATACACACATACATACACACACATACAGACCTCATGCGTCCGCGCATCCTCTTGAACACAAGCACCCAACGATGGACACCACCCCTCAGCTACCCCCAAACCCAGAGAAAAAGCGCGTATCATGCTGAGAGGCACGGCCAGTACCACCTCTGGGTAGGGAGCTCCAGCTAGCTAGCTAGCTAGCTGGAGCTCGACATGGGAATTCTCTAGGGCGAGGAGGCCATATACACATATATATAGGTACTTCTGTAGATATTTATGTTTCTCTCTTGTCTATATATCAATATAGATATACATTTGTATAAAATATATTTCTACAGATAGATATTTCCCCATAGATATGCAAGGGCTGCCCAAAAACCTTCGTCCGAGGCGCAGACACGCGCAACCGCCTCAGTCCTTAGCCGATACAGCTTCAACACATTCTGTACCTTGATGCCGCGTGGAGACATCCAAAAAGTCCAAAAGGGGGGAGTAGCTCTCAATGCTCAGCACTTGGAGCGACAGAACGCGGAGTGGAGCAGCAAGAAGATCCATGAGGGCATCCATGCCAGCCTCCGGCAGCGGCTTCAAGTGCACGGCGCTGGGATCAGTCACTGCCGCAGCAGAGGCCATGTAGCTCCCTTCCACCGTGGAGGCGCTCAGCTCCGCAATACCAGAGCCACGCAGCTTCGCCAAACTTGGGGGCGATCTCCCGCCACTCCCACCGGCGGCGACACTTGCCGCAGTCACTGCAGCCGACGCGCGCTGGCAAGTCATGGAGAGCAGCCTGTGGGCGCTGTCTAGAATTTGGGCGACGTAGTCCACTCGGGAAGGAAAGAGGGCCAGACAAAAGTTGAGAAATGCCACTTGCATGGCTAACAAACTCGACAAATCCATGCAGCCTGCAATACAGGCGCACCGCATGCACGCACCGCCAGCAGAGACCTCCAATTTCGGAGAACGTGTCTCTGCGTCTGCTTTACCCCGATTCGAGAACCTTCCTTCCCGCATATATTTCCGGCGCTTCGCAGTTCACGCCGCAGGCGAGCCTCACCTCCAGAGGGAGGCTCTGCGGGTGTGCCGCTGCTGCCCCCGGAATACGCGAGGATAGCGGCGTCCACCTGCGACTCGAGGAAGTTACGAAATATATCAAACACGGAGATGTCTTTGGGCAGCGCCTGCTCAACACACGCACCGCAGCAGCGCACACCGTCGATCGAGGGCACAAGCTCCTTCCGCGCAAGAAGAAGAGAGGGACCAAGAAAGAAGGAGGCATGTAACTGCCGCTCAAGTTGCTGTCGCAGGATCCGGCTTCGCACCTCGGGATCGCCTTGCAAGAAGCTCGTAATACGATTTAGCAGATTTACCAACACCGGCTTTAGCGCCACTGCAGAGGCCGAAAAAAGCGAAGCACATTGATAATTCGCATCCTCGAAACAGGAAAAAAACGACCGCAGCAAGAGTTGTCGTCCAGCCAGAAGGGGGGGTGGCGAAGGCGGCATTCTGAAGCGCAGAAAAGCTGTGTATACGCTCGCCTCGACGAGACAGCTCACGTGCGCCGCAAAGCTTGCAACCCACCTCCTCTTTGTACATTTGCGGTTTGACTTAGCAGCAGATCTAAAGTCTGAAGATGGCACTCGTCGGAGAATACCTGAACCACGCAGTCCAGCAAGTACTGCTGAGCCAGGGTATCCTTGCACGCCATGATCTGCAATCGCCACAAGCATGCCGCGTGCAAAAGAGCAGGCTTTTTCCAACAGGCAGTGAGCTTTTTGCTGCTGCAGCATGTTTTCGGAAAGGCGACCGCAGGCAGGCATTGCAGATACACTCTCTGCAGAAGGTGCTCGCACACGCGCCTCGCTGCAGGGGTGTCGCCTCAAGGCCCCTTTATATGTACATATATATATGTACATATATATATATATATGGATTGCGGCCTTCTGCCGCTAGGACGTGCCAATGAAGGCTGCAGAAAAAAGTTTCCTAGTGGGTTTTCTAAGGCTGCCTTCCTCGTCTAGAGAGGATCGCCCAAGGTTCTCCTGAGTGCAGAACAAGCTGTAACACGCAGCCTCTGTCTGACTGTCTGTGCGCACTTGCTGGAGAATCGCAGGCAGCGCCTGCGTCCTGTAGAATTCAACAGTCATTCCCTCGAGCTGTGCCATCCGAACAAGCGCGGAGCCAACAAGAACTCGAAGATCTTGCCTCTCCTTCTCCCTCTTGACACGATCTCGAATGCTGCTCTGTTGCTGCAGTCGTACCCAGAGACGAGCACTCTCATTGAAGTTCGTCAGCAGGAAGAGAAAGGCATCCTCTGGCCCCGAACCGCCTTCCCTAGAGCAGCGCAACATCGGCAGGCGCCACACATCCCCATAGACACAGACAGACACAGACACATCCCCATAGACACAGACAGACACAGACACATCCCCATAGACACAGACAGACACAGACACATCCCCATAGACACAGACAGACACAGACACATC